AGCCGATTTCCCCGATGTCCGCGCCTCGCGCGCGGGTGGGCAGGTAGCCCAGCAGCCGCAGGCCCAGCGCGTGGCGCTTGTACTGGTTGCAGAAGGCCTGCGCCGAGGAAACCGACGACGCCCGAAAAAAGGACCAAGAGCCTCGGTTGCTTGCGGTTGAGGGTGTAGGGTTTAGGGTTTGGGGTTGAGGGTTTAGGGTTTAGGGCTTAGGGCTTAGGGTTGAGGGTTTAGGGGTTAGGGTTTTAACTTTTAGTGGTTTAATACGGAAAACCCATTCGTTGGCAAAAGGTTAGAGTCCTAACATCCAAGCAAAATGCAACAAAGAGGAGACGCCGCGACGCCCGGAAACCGTGTTTTTGAAGAGAGCGTCCCCTCATGGCTTTGTTGGGGGCTGGGTTTTCTGAAACCCAGAAATACCCCAAGTTTCAAACCCGGGGCCCTTCTGCTTGAGAACCTTTCTAGGGGTTGATTCCCCATTTTTTCAGCCATCTTTCCCCTGGGGAGTTGGTGGTTTTCTAGAAAGATTCGGATCCCTGGGTTCAGAATGGAAGTGGAAGTTACCCCTAGAACCTGCTTGGGGCTTCGGAACACTCATCTCCTGGCTCCTTTTGCTTCGCAAAGTTGAGGGTCGTTGCCAGGCCAAAGAAAGCGGCCGGTCCTTGTCAGCCCTTCCGGTTTGATCATTTGTTGCGGGCACGAGAATCCGACCATGAACCTGTAGCAGCCCTTCGCATACCAAAATCCATCAAACATCCTCCAAAACACACAAAGGTGGGGGTATGCTGAGAAGGGTTGTTATAGGATTCGCCCGAAAACACATGGCGTCCAAAGGGTGCCCTCGACTTTTTGTTCTCGTGCTGGCCACAAAAGGCCAGCGAGGTTGATGCCCTTTGTCACTTGGATCGAATGGGAGGTCAAAAGGAAACTTTGTTTTTCTGAGGCGTCCACTTAGTAAGCGGTTCGTAAGCCAGGTCATAGCCAACTTAAGAGACTTGTAGCCATGGTATTCGCGGGTTATTTCACTAGGCACACAAACCTCTTACCTGATGCACAATGCCCCGTTAAGCTATATTTTACGATATATCCAAACCCCCTCGGACACAGCCCCCGCCCCAGTAAGGCCTGAATATATGTCCTAGTAGGGAATTCTTTTCGAGCTTGAAAACCAAAAGGACCCGAAGCTTTGAGTAGTTTAAAATAATTTCCCTTCAAACTAGAACAGAAGAATATACAAAAAACAGCTTCCTTTCAGCCAATGCCAGGGGGGGTGGGGGGTTATACACCAAAAACATGAATTCCTTGCCGATGGAAGCTTTTTGAGATACCCTCGGCGTTGGCTTCCAAGAGGAAGCCCATCGGAAAAACAATTGTTTCCCCCTAATTGGTGGTTTGGTTTGGTGGTGATGTTCCCCATTTGGTAACAAATTCAAATCCCCAACCACCAATCGGAAAAAATAAATAAAAATAAAGTGGATACCAAAATGAGGAACCAATCCACATATTGGTTGTTGAAACCCAATCGGAAAAGAAAAAAACGAAACCGCCCCAGCGGCCGAAACGAAAAGCGAAAAACGCTTCCACGCGGCCTGTAGGGAGCTCACGGCGTCGTGCGCCTCCGGCCCGCAGCCTCGATGCGACTCCGCGCGGAACGGCTTGGATTTGCGTGGGTAGATGTCATGTTGACCCCATATATATATATATATATATGTATATATATATATACATATATATATATATGCGTATATATATATATATAATATTTGGGGAGGAAAAAAAAGAAGGAAAAAACATAAAAACAAGTTTCCCAGGGGGCTGTTCCCCTCCACAAAGGTGATGCTTGGTTTCTTAACAGGGGGGTGGTGTTTGGCCCCTCCGAAAGTGGTCTGATTCCACATTTCACCCGGGGACACCCCCGGATTAATCAACCGGGGTTGACTTGGCACAAGCAAACCTGTATGGGCATGAAATTGAATTAGAGACCCGAAAGGTTGTATGTCCACCCACTTTCCAGGGAGTTCCTCATTACATTCATGGCCGTATAAAGATCAAAATGAGTTGGTTCCCTTGACCTTCCCAAAACAACGCCACACGGAAAATGGGTCAAAGACCACAGCAATTTGGATGACAGGCCTTGAACGCGTCTGCTTTCGAGGATGCAAGCGAAGGTGACACCGGTCAAGCTCCAAATGGGAAGCTGCGAAAGAACATGTGCTCCCCGCTTGGTGTTCCTTTTGTTTCCCTTTAAACCAACCTCACAGGTACCAAAGAAAACACGCCCAAGTGCTCCTTCTGCTTTTCCTGGGAGAAAAAAAAAAACATCCAAAGGCGAGTCCCCAATTTTGAGAAAGACCCCAAGTAAGCATAGGTCGGCTCACTTGTCGACAAGGCGGAATCATCCCCTTTTTGGGCTCCGCTTTTGGCTGAACTTCCAGCCATACGTCCCCTGAAGAAAAAGCTCACTCGCAATGCCCGAAGTGGTCCAAGCCACCCAAAAGGTGGCTGTTGTGAGCGGGTGTCGCCTTTTTTGGATGGTACCCTTCTTGGGGTGGTTTGTTGGCGCCCACACAAAATTCAGGGTCGCCCTCCTTCGAAGCAGCTCCAAAGAAGGGGAGCCGGGCTCCCCTAGCCCCCCAGCCGCCCCCCCAGCCGCCCCAGCCCGGCGCTTTCGCGCGCGAAAAACGGCGCTTGGGAGCCCAGGCTGACCACCGGCAGGAAGATGGGCTCCGTGTTCAGCGCCCCAGCGCTCCAAAGCCAACCTCGGGCGCCGGAGGGGCCCGGTGCAACTTTCAGCCCAGGCATAGGCGGCCTTTTGGAAAAATCGATGGATTTCCCCGGTAAAAATGGAGAATACACCGCATCTAAACCAGGGCCCTCGGTTATTTTTGAGCAAACCAACCAAAAAGGACACCTATGAGCCTGGGGCGAAGCCTGGGGGTGGAAAGGAAAGCTAAAGGGGGAACCGCTTTCGTTTCAGAAGGGTGGGGCTGTGGGGTGGTTCGCATAATTGCCCGAACAAAGCACTTCTGCATCCTTTCGTTTTGAGGCAAACTCAGAATGCAACAACCACCCGCCCCCCACCCCCCCCCCCACCCCCAAAAAAAAAAGCCGGACTCTCCGGTTTTCCCTTTCAACCAATCCCAAACAGGGTACCCTCAACAAAAAACAAACCAAGGTCATAATTCCCTCTAAACTCTAAAGATCAAAGAGTCTAGGAGTATGGCTTGGGTGACCCTAGCTGGGTTCTAGCAAATAAGCTTCAGGATGCTGCACATTGGCGATTCGCCATCGCAGGGCAAAGCTGGGAACACGGAAGGCAAACCGAAGGGAAACTTTTCACCACTTTTCGGGGGGTTCTGAAGCTCCATTTGTACCCCTCCTGCACAGGAAATCAAAAAAAAACGGCCTATTCGAGGCGTCCTCGCCTTTTCGATGGACACCCCCCGTTTTACCGAACGCGTTCCCCGCCGAGAAGCATCTGGCCTGGAAGTGCCAGTCGTCCGTCAGCCGGCCCTTCTCCCAGCCCACGCGCTGCGCCAGCCGCGCCGACACGGAGTAGGTGGAGTGCAGCAGCCGCGTGGCCCGTGGGTCCGCGCACCACCCCAGCTGGCACGCCCCTTGCAGAACCTGCGGATCAACGAACGAGATTGGGGGATGCGAGGGGAGGGCTCGTCTTGTTTACTCCTCCAATTTGGCTTTACAAATTGAAAACCACGAGTATCCATGCTGAGGTTCCCTTAAAAACGACACCCGCCAATTTGGGCCTCTTTCCCTTTAAACCAGCCTGAAAAAGATACACAAAGAAAACACAAACCCGAGACACTCGTCCTTTTGCTCGTTAGCGTAGAGAACACAAAGAAAACAAGGTGGAAGAACGGAAAACCCTTGTGTCAAAGAAAGGGGGAAGCAATAGGATCAATGCACCGAAACATGCTTGCTGTTGACCCCTCTGCAAAAAGTGTTCAACATTGTGTGGGTCCAACTCGGTCCAACTCGACATATCGCACCTGTTTCAACCGAAAAGTTTTACAAAGTCCAAAACATCCGAGACCCCAAATAGCCACAAAGCAATCAAAAATAAAGAGAGCTCCTGCTGCCGCTCCAAGCAACGCTCCTCAAGCGGACGATTCCCAGCTGGGTGTGGTAGTTCTTGTACTCCAGAACCGGAGGCTGCCAAATGGTCAGCTCCCTCTGGACCTCTGAAGCCGTCGACCAGTGGTAGCTCAGCCCCCGAAAATACCTGCGAAGCTGCACACACGCAGCCACCAAACCAAAACGTAAGGATGATTTGAAGGAAATAATTTTGGTGGTGGGCAAAACTGGGCCGCCCACACAACGGAGGGTCATGAAACGAAGAGACCCTTTATGAGAGGGGGATTGTTTTTTGACCATGGAAAATGATAAACTCGTGCCAAAGGAAGAAGCAAATGACGATGGTCCGAAGGGCAACTAGGTCGAATCCAGGCGATAGACAGGGGACATCCCCAAACAAAGGAATAGCAAATGATGTCCCTTGAAACCAACCCCAAACAGGGCACGCCCTCCAAAAAAGACACACACACACACAGGGGTGTTTTCTTCAATCAGGCTTCCTAGATGTCCCCTTTGAACATGATGGTTGAAGGGAAGTATAGGGGGCCGCTGTCAAAACCGGGCTGTTCAAAATGGAGGCTTGGCCACTCCTCCATAATCCCCATAGAAAAGCCACACAAAACGGACCAAATGGTTCCAACCTTAACCTTACGCAACCAAATCCTTGTGTAAGGATTGAGAGTTTTACCTTTGAACAGCGGCTGTCAAATCCTGGCTCAACCAGAAGAAATGAAAAGATAGGCACCCGAAGCTGGTTCAAATCGAGTCAACATCGGAGTCAACACATGGGGCATGTTCGGTCAAAATGCCTTGGGTGCAGCTCGCTGTCGGCATCCATGACTGTGAGCACCACCTTGCCCAAGTCCGTCTTGGCCTCCGGCTGCCCATCTCAGGGGGGCTCCGAGATTTTGTTTCCCCCACAAAGTCTAGAGGAAACACCCCTGGCCTTAACATCTCTACTCTTGGTATGGTAGCAAAAAACTTTGCTTTTTGCAGACCCCCAGTAAAAATAAACAGAACCAAAAAACTAAAAAACCAAAAAAAACATGCCAAGAACAGTGAAGTTAATAGCTACCCCCAAGCTTGCCCCGAGCATGTTCTTTCGCTTTTGAGGGCCCTTAGGCCAAGGTGAGCATGACCAACCACCTGAGGTCCTCAGCCTGAAGCACTCAGCTTCGCCCAGCGATGCGTGAATTCCCATGGACCATTGATGCCAACTCTTTGGTACGGACGACAATGTGTCCCAGGCGAAAACAGGGTTGTGGTTGAAATGGAACCCACTTGATACAACAAAAAGGGCCTAACCCCAAAGACTAACTCCCCATGCAAAGGGGGAGATTCCCTTGTATCACAGAAGTGGGGAAAAACCCTTGATCCCACAACCCTGGGGGAAAACCATCAATAACGAAGATGTGGGAGATATGCTAGCCTTGCTTCAGGGTTATCATAAGGCCGAAAAACCAAAGCTTGCCTGGAGGGGTAGAGGGGTGTGTGAAGGTCAGCCCCTCTGAGCACGCACACAAAGGCAGGTCAAAAATTGTCAAACACAAGGGGGGTCTTGAAGGAATACTTACTGCCCCCACCGTTTAATACAAGGGTGGGGTCCTCGGCGAAGTACAGGAGATGAACAAGCCCACCCTCCTTTATACAACGAACCGATGAATCATGCTGTGTCGCTGTTGAACCCTCTACAGAAAGTTTAACTTGTTGTGGGTTCAAATAGCCGAAAAGAATATTTACCCATGCCCATGTCGCGCGACCCAAAGCCATGCAAACCGATCAAATCCCCTAGAAACCCCTTAACAGAAGCCAATCAAATCCCCTCTAAAACCGGCCCAACTCCGGTCAGTTCTCACAACGATCACATCCCCCTAGAAACGGACAAGTTCCCCTCTAGAAGGCTGCCAACTCTGATCCGCCAAGAACACCGATCACATCCCCCCAACTGGTCAAGTTCCTTTCTCCTCAAAAACCGGTCAGCTCCATTCAAATCCCCGTACAAACCACTCAAATTCCCCTCTAAAAGCCAATCAGATTACCTCCGGAAACCAATCACATCCCCTCCAAAAACCGGTCCAACCAATTCCTCCCAAAAAACCCATCAAATCCAAAAACCAAACTCCTGCCAAATCTGAGGAGAAACTGGCCAAATTGCCCTCTGGAAACAAGTCACATCCCTTCATCCCTCTCTAACCGGTCCCTAGAAACTACTAGAAACTGGTCAAGTTCCCCCAAAATCCGGTCAAATTCTATGTGAAATGCGCGAACATGCACCCACCCTCTATCTTGGAAACCCTCTCGCGCATTTCGGTGCTCACTCACTCACTCAGACAAACACAACTTCAAGGCAAGCCGAGGCGGTCAACGCGAAGCGTTTACAATAAAGAGGTTTGATGATTACTAGTAGTTTGGTGACTTGATTGGGTACTGATTTTGATTGGGGACCTATTTGGTGGGCATCTACAGGGATTTATGTCCACCAACCGCTTTGAGGTGGTTCCAACGATTCCAACTCTCAAAATTCCTAGCCACTTCCTGAGTGGATTGGCCAAAAAAGTCTGAACTTTGTATTCCCCACTAAAACGGTCCAAACCCAAAAAGCGACTAGAGTCCGTGTCACGGAACTCAGGGATTGAGACACTCACCTCTTAATCCTCTATTTGCTTAAGCCCCTTGGAAAATATGTCCCAGTAGTGAAATCGAATCCCTCTAAAACCGACAAAGCAAAATAAGAGTAACCAAAAACATATTCAAGAAAATGGTAGCTTAAACATATCCCAAATAAAGTGGAAGTAAACAAGAATCTTCAAAAAGAGAAACACCAAACAAAAATGAAGAAAATGGAAGATGGAAGTTTACCCAAACAAAAACGAAGGCGTCATTTCTGGCTCTCCCGCCCTTCCTCGCCTCCGCGAGCTGCCGGAAGAGGCAGCTGGCCGCCCAGCCCACGTTCGCCGCCTTCCCGGCGATCTCATTCTCGCGGCCGCAGGGGTGCACCGTGCAGAGGAACCGGCCTCGGGCGGAAGGAAATTCCACCCGGTGCCAGTCAGAAGAAGCAGACGGCTAAAGGCTGGGCGAGCGGGTGTTCGTTCATGTTTTTTTCAGACGCGCCTTCCGGAGTCCGCTCTTTCCGGGGATCCAAATATTTTGATGTTAAGCACGTGTGGCGTCCAAAGACGCCACTTGGGGTTGGTAGGACTGGTCACGAATCCTTTTACTGGGGTTTTAGATAGTAACTAAGGTTCCGACAAGGGACAGCAAGAACTGTTAAGCCCGGATTAATAAACCCCTGGTTGAGTTTGATCGGGGGGTGTCCCCTTTTAGTGGGGATTCAGACCACTTTTGAAGGAAACACCCCCCTTAATAGTGGGACGGGCTTACTAATCCTGGGTCAACATTAACACCGGGCACAGTCAGAAGAAGCAAACGTTTAAAGGCTGCGTGGAGCTGGTTTTCTATTTCTTTCTAGGGGTACCTTGCGGATTCCATTCTTTCCGGGGATCCTTCTTTTCACGAAACCGTCAAAATTTAGGGGAAACAGCCGGTGCGGTCAAAACTGGGCTGTCCGATTTCTGATCCCCCGCGAAAAGTGCACAACTTTTAGTGGGTTGAATTCGGAAATCCAACCACTAAACACCAAAAAGCTAAAAGGCTAACGGGATAGCTGGGAGCCACCAAGAAAACGCAGACGGCTTCAGCTGGGTGTAGCGGTTTCTTTTTGGGTGGATTCCCAAAGTGTGCGTGGCTAAAAACTGGGTGCAGCTGTGTTTTTTGGGGGGCGAAATCCCATTTTTTCGTGGAACCCAACGGAAAAAACAAAAGAAGAAAAAGAACATATATTTGTTTTGGCAAAACAAGACCTCCGGGGTCCCATATACTCTCTTTGTGTTTGTTTCTTCTTCTTTTTCTTTTTTTTTTTTTTTGGGGGGGGGGGGGGGCGGACAAAGAACATTAAGAATACATAAGCTCGCTTCAAGATATCGCACAACAACATGTAAAACAAGGAACCCAAGCACAAAACAAAGTGGCTCACCTTCAGGATTCCCCTTCTAAGGGTACCAGGATCAATTGAAACCAAACTCGGGATGTCACACCAATTCTTCCCCCTCCCCCCTCTTTCCCTGAAGAAACCCCCAACCCAACCCCAACACAAACCCCTCCAACCTCCCCAGCCACCTCTTCCCCCTCCCAAACCCTCCCCCCCAACCCCCCAACCCTTCCACTCCTCCAACCACTTCCGAGGCGCCGAAGCGAGCGCCGAACTCCGCCTCCAGCGTCTTGGCCTTGGCGCCCCGCGCCCCGTCCCGCTCCTCCAGGGCCAGCACCACGCCCAGCTCCTCCGCGCCCTCGCCTCGGCGCTTCGACCCAGCGGCGCTTTGCGTCCGAAAGCAGCGCTGCGCCTTTTGGCGCGGCCCAAAAAGAGAAATGGAAAAAAAAGAAAGACGCCTGGCAGCTTTTTGGGAACCGAAGAAGAAGTTCGGGGAGCGGAGGCGGATTGGAATTGTTTGGAGCTCAAGGCCAAAAGCAGCCCGTTTATTGAAGTTACTCTGCCCAAACTTCTCAGTGGGTTTGGCTGAAGCTGCCTATTCGTCTTGGCTTGATCCCTCTTTCGGGGCTTAAACAAGAACTTGCGGTTCGTACAATGCCTTGGTTGACGTTGGACGGGGAGCAAAAATTAAATTTTAGCAGTTAAGTGGGGGATTTCCCACTAAACCACAATGAGCAAAATGTTTAAAAGAATGTTTCCCAACAACAACCATGATGCTCTCCTTCGGAAAATTATGGAAACAAAACGGGACGTCAGAATCCATGACTTGCGGAGACGGCTTGGGCTTCGCGCCAAAACAAACTGTAGGCTCGAAAGACAGGGAACAGGCCTGAGCCAATGTGCCCAAAACCCGTTGACTAGCTGAAAATGGTTTATGGCTTCGCACTCCAACCAAGGGCCTTTGCTAGTGGTTTCAAAGGGAAACCCAGAGGAAAGCCGCCGATTTTCGTGGGTCCCCCAAGCAAAGACATATATATATATGTATGTGTATATATATATATATGTACACGCAAACAAACGCCCAACGAAATCGGAAGTTTGAAGAGGAAACCTTCATGACAAAGTCTCGTGGGCCGCGCGTAGGACCATGGTGCATCATGACCAACGGGAGTCCGAACCAGCTTAACCGTGGCAATGATGGCCCCTCTGTAATGTGAAACAAATTGCTTTCTTTTTTCCACATTCAAAGTGGTTTAGATGATTCAACAAGTGAGCGATGGGCCAGAACATGTATCTACCAGGAATCTTGCCAAATTGGCCTCCTTCGTCCATTTCAGGCTGGACATGTTTTTTATACTGACCTCCATGTACCCAGGATCGATATTGGTCCCATATCCCATTTGGGAACAGAAAAAGAGCCCCAGCATGTCGAGGATTCGCACCCACTAAGAGCCGTTCCAACTCCATACATAATATCAACCAAAACCGATTGACTATTGGCTCTACGAAAATGGCAATGAGGGTTCAGGGATCCTTACATTATAAACCTGAACATTGCCTTGTAAATGGTGGTGTCCCTTTATTTTGGTGGAAAAAGCCACATGGTTCAACTGGTGGCAAAATGTCTCTTTTAAGGAGCCCTGGGGTTATATAGGCCTTACCCCAATCCTTGCTGCTAAAGCAGGTGGGAGCGCCGCCTCCTTAAAATGGGCCTCTATTGGGTTTTGTCGCTGCTGCGGGGGTTTCTCGAGCCCTTCTCAGCATTTAAAGAAAACCGAAAAAGGAAACCATTTCAGATTTTAGGGGGCCGTATTTGGAGGAACAACCATATCAACCAAAAAAGGGGGTATAAAAAAAGAAGTGACTCACACCAAAGAGATGGGGCCACTTCTGGCCCTCAGTACACTAGCCGAAAACGGCCCCCAACTTCTTGGATTTTGCCAAAAGCCAGAAAGTCCAAACCAACTCAGCAGGCAAGACGATGATAGTGTAGAAGTTCTGATTGAAATGCTTTTCGTACTTCCCCACAAGGGGACCTCTGTGCTCTGGGAAAGCCTGGCCATCTTTTTTTGCCAGCGAGCAGGCAGCCAGGCTTTCGAGGGTATCCCTGGTGGTCTCGATGCTCTCAGTATAGTTTGCCAGAATCGCAAAGTGCAGCACCTCCAAATCGCACGGGGCCTGCAGGTCGCCAATGGATCCGTAGGTCAGAGGTTGCATCGTTTTGGGGGAGGGACCCTTCTGGTTTGTGTTTTAACGCGACGCCCAACGGAAAACCTAAAATCCATTGTGTCAACAAATGCCCTCCCGACGCCAGTGTCGACTTCCATGTCACCACCTTCGTGGTGATCTCACTGGAGCCTCTCTCGAATTTACGTCAAAGCCCATAGGTGTCCTTGTGGGAAACTAGATGGCCCTGTTAAATGGAATGAAACCAAACTAAACCAGTCATACTCTTGGTATGGTAGCAAAACACTTTGTTTTTTGCAGACCCTCAGTGATAATGAACAGAACCAAAACACTAAAAAACCAAAAAACATGCCAAGAACAGCGAAGCAGTGCCATCTATTTCTAGCCACAATAACCTAAAAAGGACACCTACTGTGGATGGACGAAATCCTGCACCACCCAAAAAACCCTGGGGTGATGCTTCCCCTGATAATACCAACAAGCACTGGTTTGCTATGGTTTCAAAGTAATGCGAAATGGATTTCGTCCACCCACAGTATGTCAACACTTTGTCTAGACAGGGCACCCGCCTTGAACTCCTCCGTCTGATACCTCTGCAACTTCAGAAGGCCCACGGCGGCGGCGATCGCCTTGCGGGGCGTTCTCGGCCACATGGAACAAGAAGACCCTTGCCCCCCCCCCCCCCCCGTTTTTTCAAAGGTTTAAACCACAGGCGCTTCAACATTGCTCCATCTCAAAGTCGGGAAGCCCACAACATGCGGTGGTGGTTGCTTGGTGTCGCGCTAAATCGGCCCAAAACGGGTATACTTGGTTGACTTTGGAAGGGGAGCAAAATTTGGAAAAGTTCAGCAGATTTTGTGGTTGGATTTCAACCACTAAACCACAATAAGCCAAAATGTAAAAAATGTTTCTCAACAACAACCATTCGGCAGGCGACCTTTCCGAGAAGTAGATGGGTTTCCCTGGTGATGTGTGCCCCTTGTGAATCAACCCCAGTTTACTAATACGCCTTGTGGAGAGCCCCAGAAACCATAAAGAGCAGCGCCAGTGAGTAGGGCAGCAGCGCGAAGTCCCCCGCGCGCGGCACTAAGTGGCAAACCACAAACCAGCCCGCCACCAGCGAGTACATGCACAGCGCGAGCCAGTCGAAGTTCCACCTGGAGGAGTCTTACCAAAAAAATAGGGGGCTGTGGGTCAAGAATAGGTACCCAAAATGGCACCCTGGTAAATGGAAACAATGACTAAAACCTGTGCTCCCCTGGTGGTTTAATTTTGACCCATACCCAGGGGACATTCTCAGCACGCTTGGCTTTTTCCCGTTGCTCTGCCGCCCTTGCGCCAAAAGTTCGAAATGGTGGTCTCCAACTCCTCTAATGTGAACCCCGGATTTAATGAACCCCTGGTTGATCTTCATTGGGGGGTGTCTCCTTTTAGTGTTGGATTCAGACCGCTTTTGGAGGGAACGGATTCCCCTAATAATGGGATGGGTTTATTAATCCTGGGTCAACATGATTGCCCTCATCAGTCCGTTCACCCTTTTTGGGGGGAGGAAATATGTTTGAGTCTTGGGAGTCTGATCCGGTGCCCAAATTCGGCGTCGGTTTTTGAGTTGCTGCCCGTTCGATTGGATGGCTTTTAAACACAAACCAACAGGAAAGCCACCGAAAAAAAGTTGGGCTTCGGAGCCGTTCTTGGCGCCTGGGCTGCTTCAGCGCAAAGGCGTCGAAGCCCTTGGCGGCCAGGTGTTTGGTCTGCAGCGACCGGTGCCTCCGGACCATCTTCGGCACGTCCCAGCGCTGGCAGAGCAGCAAGAGCCCGTGCACCAGCAAGGGACCATTCAACACCTGGGAGCGTCAATGAGCCACCGGCCAATGGTGACCCTATTAAAATATATATATATATATATGCTTGTTGTTGTTTTTTTTCATAGGGGGGAGTTTTAGTTAAAATATTAAATATGTATATATATATATATATGTATATACATATATGTTTTCATAGGGAGTGGTTGTTGGGCCCTCCAGAAGTGGTCTGATTCCAACCACCTTTCACCCAGAGAGAAGACTAAACCGGGGCTGATCTATCTTAAATATGGGGTTAACATTACAGAGTTCATGGTTCCAGCTTTTTGAAACCTGGAAAAAAAAGGAAAGCTACTCTCAAAGCTGAACAGCTGTCTCTGGACATGGCCCTCACACTCCAAACAAAGACATATCTAGAAGTCAAACTCGGTTGCTTTCTGCTCCCCTGCTCAAAGTGGTTTAATACGGAAAACCCCATGAGTTGGCGAAAAGTTGAAGTCCTGGCATGCCTTGGCAAAATGCACCAAAGATTGCACGACAACGGGTGAAAAGTGCGGCTTCTGACTTTCCTTGAAGAGGGAGACGCTTCCTTTGGTCCACTTCTCAAAAAAGGCATATCCAGAAGCCAAAAGTCAAATTTGGCCACGCCCGGAGCTTCGAAAATCCGAGCGAGACGCCACCAGGCCCAAGATCCAGATGCCCGCCAGGCGCCAGCTGCGGAGCTCCTTGAAGGAGCCTTCAGGGCGCTGGAAAGATCCGACCAACAAAAAGAACCCTCATCGAGAGGCAACACAAAAACCATGGCCACAAATTGAACACACCAGAAAAATAAGAAGACCATGAAGTTCTACCAGCCAAAATAAGAAGACCAGCCAAAACGAACCTCATCGGGAGGCAAAACAAATCATGTTGACCCCGGATTAATAAACCAAGCAGTTTACTAATATGGGGGTGGGGGCCCCTCCAAAAGTGATACGAATCCCCACTCAAACCAGGGACACCCCCATATTAATAAACTGGGGTTTGGTAATCTGGGGTCAACATTACTGAGCTGTCATCAGATCCCCCGCTAAAAGTTTAACTTTTAGTGGGCGAAATGGAAAACCGCCACTAAACACCAAAAAGCTGAAAAGCTATTGGATTGGCTGGGAGCCACCAAGAATACCTGGCCGGAAGCTGAAAACACCCAAGCAAAGAAGTTCTACCAGCAAGAAACTCACGAAGAAAAAAAACAGAACGAAGAAGAAAACAAAAAAGCATGCCTACCACTGCTCGGGCAAAAAAGAATGGGCGGCTTGGCCGAGTTGAAGCTTGGAGCTTCTTTTGGCCGGGGCCTGCATGATTCAGCTCCGCCAGATCATAGAGCTCCAACTCCTCCGCCCAGGGCTTGGAGATCGTGAAGTTGACTCGGGAGCCCAGCTGCAGGAAGCAGGTCATGGCCGTGGAACGGTTCGGTGACCCATGTCTCAAGCCCGGCTGCGTTGAGCCCGGCTAGCACAAGAGCACATGGAGAATTAAAAAAAGGGCGCGGCGCGGGCTGGGCACCACACATTGCCGGGCAAAGCCCCGGTTATGGGTATCAGAAAAAAACCCACGACTCCGTGTTCAGCGCAGCGAGGGGTGACCAAAAACCCTCAACCCGTGGTTCGGAAAGAAAAAACAAGTCCCGGGCCAGGGGCTTGTGACGGCCGGAGTCAAGCAGCGCACAAGCTACCAGAAGAGTTCCGAGGAGCTCCGGAAGGCTCCCCCTTTCTTGGTTGATGTTGGAAGGGGCGCAACAAATTATTTTTTTTGCGGTTGAGTGCTTGGATTTTTCCAACTAAACCACACTAACGCAAAAATGTGTCCCAAGGAAAAAAAAACAGTGGTGACAGATTCCGTTTAAAACCAACAGGGGAAAATAAAAAATAATCATTTCAGCAAATGGAAGGAAGGCTCCCCCTAAGGCAAAGTTGGCTACTGGTCTCCCTTCCACCGGCTCCCTTCCGACCAAGTGAGCCAATCACCTGAAGCTCTTCAGCACCAGTCCCGTTCAAAAAAAAAAAAAACTCCCGTTGGCATGTTCTCACCTGCCCAAAGGACCTGAAAATAAAAGGTGATCACCTTTTGGGGTGACTAAAACTCGACCAAACCCGGAAAACTAAAAGGTCAAAATCGGCTCGGATCAATCCGCGGTTTGGCATGGAGCTGAAGAGCTGAGGGCTCAAGCGGTGCGTGTCCCCGCCCAAATGGACCTAAAAGCATTTGAGGCGATATTTCGGTATGTCAAAATGGGGGGGATTTGGGGGATCCTAAAAAGGTCTGGTTTGCTTTTGGCTTCCTTCTAAAAACGACCAAAAGAGGTTTGAGGCGAGAATCCGGGGAAGCGTCTATCAAGACATGGCTTTCAGATCTCCGATTCGGTGTTTTCAGTTGTTGAACCTGAACGAAAGCAAACGCGTTGGTCGGCGACGTGTGCCGCCGTCTGGAAGTCTGCAACCTCTGATATGAGGCAGGCAAGCCCAATGGTGTGGCACACAAACCCAAGAAGCTCTTCAAAAAGCCCGTGCACCTTCAGCAAGGCCATCCACCGCGATGTCCTCTTTTTGAGGGTCTCCTTTCGGGTGTGGTTTAGGCTTCTGAGAAACCCCCCTACCTGGGCTGTTCGCCAATCCTACTCCATAATCCCGATCGGGAAGCCACTACAAAAGGGACCCCGTTGCGTAACCAAAGGTAAAAACTAAGGATTTTACCTTTGTTTGAACAGCCTACCCCGTCCTTTGCGGTCCTTTGCAGATGGAGCCCATCACACCCACAGGCCTCAGCTGCTGGCCGCCGGCTCCGCCGCCGCCGCCGCCTCTGCCGCCTCCGCCGCCGGCTCCGGGGGCACCTCCTTGCTGCGGTCCAGGAGACCCCGGAAGGTGGCCAGCACCTCGGCGGACGCGACGCGCGCGCGCGCGGTGAAGGCGTGAGGCTTTCCCCGCAGAAGGAAGGAGGGAAATGCCTCCATTGGCTTCTTTTCCCCCTGGAAAGAAGGAGAAAATATGTATCCGATAGTGGTAGATTCCGACTTTAAAACCAGGGCAAAATAAAGAATGTTCTGGAGCACATGGAAGAAAATACCTCCAGCCGAAGCTTTCGGGAGCCAAGTACGGCGCGAGATTCAGCACCAGTGGCAAACGGTGGTGGTTTTCACTCACAGCAAACTATCCTCAATGCTTAGAACACAACAATGGAAGGGGTCAGTCAGTCTCTCGCCCCCTCTCTCTCTCTCTGTCTGTGAGCGAGGTGCGAGTCCTGTTGTTGGGGCTTACTTTGGTGAGAGCAGAGCCAACTGGCGGCACGTAGGGAGCTTGCACATGGAACAATACTTATTTGGCTGTGGCTCAAAACCCCGGAATACCAAAATGGGCTGCCCTGGTAAGTGGAAACATGGACCAAAACCTGCGGTTGCCCCCCCTGTTTAATTTTGAGCCACAGCCATTTCACAAATGCCGCCACTTGCTTCGGCTCCGGAGGGCGCCCAGGCAGAAAAAAGCAAACAATCTTCCATACTTCCTGAGAGGATTGAAACCAAAACAGGGGGTACCACTCAAATTGTACCACTCGAATTGTGTACCACTCGAAGGAAACCTTTTGCGTGCGACTCAAATTGTCTTTCCCAGAACTTGGGGAGGGCGGAACTGGTTCGTCTGGCCAAGCTTAGTTGCGGCAAACTCTCCCAAACAAACCCAGAAACGGCTGTCCTGATCCAGTTTGCTTAAAAAAGCACAGCTGGCAGCCATACTGTGGGTGGCCGAACTCCTGCACCACTTTGAAACCATAGCAACCATTGTTTGTGGGTATATGCAGGGGAAGCATAACCCCAGGGTTTTTAGGTGGTGCAGGATTTTGTCCATCCACAGTAGGTGTCCTTTTAGGGCAAATAGATGGCCCTGGTAGATGATTAAACCACCAAATAAACCAGGGGAACCCATCTATGTTTATTCCAAAACAACCAAAACGGACACCTATGCTGGCAGCCCTGTCCGAAACGCCCCCAAGCGCCGAGAAATGCAAACCCCCACTTCGTTGGTCGAGCGAAGCTTCCCCCAAGCCCTGCACCCCCTCGATGGAAGCAAGGGACTCCTGGCCAAGCAAGGAGAGCCACTCAGAGCGCTTGGGAAAAAACAGCCCTGCAAATGAGTATGGAATCCCAACAAAGGCACCACGACTAGGTCCTCCAGAGAGTTTAGAATACGGGGAACCCTCCCCACAAAAAAAAAAAAAGAAGTAAAAGGGCACTACTGGGGGCTCTACCAAAAGGTAGCTGTTGGGCTTCCCATGTTGGGCTTGCAGGCGAGTGATCGACTCAAGCTCTGTCTGGGTGTGTGTCTTGTTGCTGGTGCCCTGTTCGCGTGTCAAACCGAAACCTACGGGAAGCCGACCAAACGGCTTTCCTTGTTGGCAGCGTCTCCGAAGGAGAGAGCCAACGGGGGGGAAGAAATGCATAAAAATGCCACACCACGCAGTTTAAAGCGATCTAGCAAGGGGAGACACGAAACCAAGGGGAGACCGAAACGAAGAAACAAATAGGGCCAAAGGGGAGACTGTTTCGGCTTGTTTCGTCTCCACAACTTGAAGGAACCAGGGGGAAAATGTGGGGCCCCCCCATGTCCTCTGTCAAACTAGTAGACGACCAATAAAATGTGGTCAGCCGCTCGCTTTTTTTTGGTGTCGCTTTAAATGGTCCTGCTGAACAAACATTGCCCAAGCCGGAAAAACAACCTGTTGTCAGTACCCCCCCCATCTTAAGACCCCAATTCCCATTCTCTGGTCTTGCCCTCAGAAGCGACAATGAAACCAAAAACCACATTTGGGTCTGTTGATTTTTTGAAATACCCTTTTATGGATTGAAAAGGAAACCAACCGAACACCACTCATTTGGGATTTGGGTTCCCTCAAAAAACAAAATATACCACCTGGTCTTCCCCTCAAAAGGGACAATGAAACCAAAAACCAATCTGCGCAATGTCAGGTCAAAGCACGTAACCGGCACCTCGGGCGCTAACAAAGCGTGCAGCATCCATAAAGGTGCCAGCGGCTCCGAATACCAAACCTAGATCAACTGGGCTTTTGTTCCAACCTCATGTGCTCACTTCCGATCGAGTGGATTGTCCGAGAAAACATCACCAAACTCTTTTTTACCACTAAAATGGTCGAAACCCACCGGAACTCGTTGGCGAGTCCCCCATCTCCCTTCCAAATGGAGCCTAGTCTGCTGGAAATTCCCCTCTTCCTTGCTTACCCATTCTCAGGATTATGACGACAAAGATAAAGAGAATGTGAAAGAGTTACGAATGCAGCGCTTGGACTGGTCTCCAAGCCGGAAGGTAACTCAAGACATCCTAACTCAGCCCTAAAAGTTGAAAAATGTTTCTGTTTGTTTCTTCCAACCTCAGTTTGGGATTGGGGGGTTCCCTCCCAAAAAAACAAAACCGAAGACGATAAGAAAAAAAGAAGAAGAAAAACACGTGTCCCAGCGTTCTCTGACCTGAGGTTACCGACTCCATGTCCCCAATTTCCCACTCGCCACACTCACCTCTCCGCCCCGGCTGGCGGCTGGCGCGCCTCGGCCTCGGCCAGCTCAGCGCCCGTGCTCTTCATCTCGGGTCCGAAGGCCTGCGAGGGCCGAGGCGCGAGGGCCGAGGCCGAGGCCGAGTGAGGCGCGCGCTGGGGGCGGAGGCACAGAGGCGCACGTGGGGGGCGGCCTATTTTGGAGGGAGGGGGTGAGGGGCGGGGGGGGAAGGGCGGGGAGGGGAGAGTGGCCCCAAGAAAAGAAGAAGATGGCGGGTTTCCCCTGTTTGGCTGTTCCTTTAAAACATTTCATGAAAATGAGGGTGGGGATTCCCCCAAAACGAGACACCTCTCAAATGGTGTCTTCTTTTAAAAAGAACTGTTGACCCGCCTTTGGGTTGGTTTCCCTTCCAAAGGCGAAGCAAACCACTAATGAGGTTCCCAATTTAAGATCTCACACCCGGCTCGGCGACGCCCGAAACCCGGCATTTGCCCCCCCCGCAGGGAAGGGGGATCTTGCAAAAAGAAGCGGCGCCCAGGCAATCGGTCCCTTCCCCCAGACCACAAAGAAAGTTGGCAACCCAAAGCGACATGTGTCTTCCTCGGCTCCGGGGGGGGAAGAAAAAAAACGCTTTGAAAACGGGGGAAACAATATCCGCGCTTCCTCTCTTGGACTCTAAACATCACCCCGCCGAAAGGAAAAACTTACCTTAAGTCTTGCCCAAAAGGCGATGTCTGAAGCGCTCTTCGGGAAATAGCTTGAGGCCCATTTTAGAACCTGTTTTAGTGGTTGGATTGGCATGTTCACTGGGGGTACGATTTGGATTTTTGTTCACCCCGAGTGATAAACTCCTGGCGGAAACCTTCGAGTGCCCGCCCGCCGGCGCCTTCAGCGCCCGGGCGGCCGCCTTCATGGCGGCCTCCGCCTCCTTGGAGGCCTCCTGCGCCGCCTGCGCCGGACGCGACGGGCGCGTCGCAAAGGACGCGGAGGACGCGGAGGACGCGGAGAGCGAAGCGCCGGGGGAGGTCGGGGGGGGTCGGGGGGGGGGTCGGGGGAGGTCGGGGGAGGTCGGGGGGGGTCGGGGAGTTGGTTGTAGTTTTAGAGACAGCCGTGGTCGCGAAAGGCCTAGACTTGGTGCTTCGGTCGGCGGGGATGTTCTCGGGGCAGGGTTGGAGTCGGTTGGAGGGTGGTCGAAGGATTGGGCGTAGGAACCCAAAGTCTAAAGGCGGATTTGAGGGACCCCCAAACAGCCGGCACGAAAGGGCTAGACTTGGTGAGTGATTCGTGTTGCGGCTTCAATCCAACCGAAAAGAGTCCATAGCTTACAGGCTCGAAGCCCTTGAAGACCAGAAAAGGACGCCTTTTTGGAAACTTTGGAGCAACTGATCACTGGAACATGGGTGTCTCAGGGATCCTTACATTGTACACCTGAACATTGCCTTGTAAATGGTGGTGTCCTTTTATTCTTGTGGAAAAAGCCATGTTTCAAATGGGCAAAATGTATTTTTTAAGGAGCCCTGTGTCTCCTCCAAATTTTGGGGAACTACAAACTGGCGTTGCCACGGCGTTCTGTTTAAGGGGTCCGGACACAACCACATGGCCTCTTGATGGAACTTTGGAGCAACAGGGTACTGGAGATGTCCCCGTAAGTTGATCAATCTACCCATCCGGAATAGCTACCCCAACTTGGCGCAAGCATGAAGTCCGCGACCATTAGGTTTTCTATCAAAGGCAGGAGCCTTTGCGGCTGGGTGTTCAAGGCAAGCAACAAGGAAACCAATCACCATGTGGACACCCTTTTTGTGGGAAGTACCTTTTTTGGTTGCCTGCTGCCTTGGGGTCTTCACTCCACGAATGTCCGCAGACTTCCAATCAGGTACATGTCTTCGCCGGGCATGACGACAACACCCATTAATTTCGAGGCCCGGGGGAGCTGCTGGACCTGCCGGGCAGTCTGGCAGTTTTGCAGGGCGCAAGGCTCATATGGCTGTGGCTCAAAAAACCGGTACCAAAATGGAACCCTGAAGTGGAAACATGGACCAAAACTTGCGTACCCCCTCCTGTTTAATTTTGAGCCACACCCATATGGGCTTCCCTAGAAGAGCCCATGGCTGCTTACTACCACCATGAGACCAGGTAGGAAGGACTTCCAAAACCCGATTGTCTGAGAGGGACGGGTACCAACAATGGCCCCCAAAGCTAGAAAGGCTCCATATTTACTTTTACTACACCCAACCAAAAACCAGGGAACCGAACCTCCCAAAATGGGCCTCAACTGCTGGGGCTCTCCTCAGATGCCAAAAGCGCATGTTTGTCGGCGAAGTTCGTGACACCCAACCGCCAAACCAAAAAAAAACATCTCACTTTAACCGCACGAAACCACCAAAGACTACCAAAAAGAAAAAAATACCCTAGACTACAAAAAAAAATACCAAAGACTAGAAAAAAAAAGACTACAAAAAAAAGACTACAAAAAAAAGGACTACAAAAAAAAAATGCACCGCACGACTGGCCGCCGGGACTTCCGGAACCGGGGGTCCCGGGGGGGAGGCCTTCACCGCGGCGACGAGGCTCTGATCCTTCAGCTTCGCCGCCTCCAGGGCCGCGCTCTTCGCGGAGACCTGCGGCGAGAAGCTCCCGCTCAGCCGGCGGTCGGCGGTCGGCGGTCGGAAGCCCAGGGATTCGTGCAAGGATTGCGGAAAAAAAAAAAGAAAAAAAACGTGTTTTTGTTGTCCTCTCCCTTTTTTTGTGGCGCAGTCCCGCCCAGAAACCCCAAGTCCAGGGACTACGGGAAGTGTTTGTTTCTTCTTGCTCCGAAAGTGCTTCTTTTGATTGCTAACATGGCTGTTGTTGAGACCGAGGAAGCTCTTTTGCAATGGTGGCGAAAAGAAAACAGTGTGGGCTTTTTCTCGCCTTTGATGATCATGCAGTTGCGGAGAAGCGGGTTGGGGCTGAATTGGAAGATGTGGTTGGTGAGTGCGAGTTGGGCTGGGGGTGGAGTTGGGGGTGAGCTTGGGAGCTGGAATGACCTGCAGTCCCCTCCCAAAGAAAAGAATCCTTTTCAGGTTGAAGTCTAGGAAAAAGATTCAGGGTGGTAGATGGCCGCAGGCTAAACAGTGTGGTTGAATTCCGGAGAAATTCGGTATGTGGCGCATCTCAACGACAAACAAATCTTTAGGGGTCATCAAAGTCGGCAACGCATATGGTTCTCATTCCAGTTGGCGGCGTATATGACTTTTCATAGCGGTTGGCAGCCCTCATGAGTTCAGGTTTACGCCCTTGGCGGCCGCAGCGTTCATGATGCACATGATTTTCTTGGTGGTTGGCAACGTGTATGATTTTCATGGCGGTTGGCAACGCATATGAATTTTCATGGTGGTTGGCAATGCATATGATTTCATGGTGGTTGGCAACGTGTATGATTTCATGGCGGTTGGCGGCGTTATGATTGTTCATGGCGGTTGGCAACGTGTATGATTTCATGGCGGTTGGCGGCGAATATGACTTTTCATGGCGGTTGGCAACGTGTATGATTTCATGGCGGTTGGCAACGTGTATGAGTTTTCATGGTGGTTGGCAACGTGTATGATTTCATGGTGGTTGGCAACGTATGCGGTTGGCGAAGCATATGAGTTGCATGCTGGTTGGCAGCGCGCATGACTTTCCTGGCGGTTGGCAACGCGTATGAATTTTCATGGCGGTTGGCAACCTGTATGATTTTATGGCGGTTGGCAACGCATATAAACTTTCATGGTGGTTGGCAACGCATATGACTTTTCATGGTGGTTGGCAGCGTGTATGGTTTCATGGTGGTTGGCAACGCATATGAGTTTCATGGCGGTTGGGAACGCCTATGAATTTTCATGGCGGTTGGCGGCGCATACGATGTTTCATGGCGGTTGGCAACGTGTATGATTTCATGGCGGTTGGCGGCGCATATGATTTTTCATGGCGGTTGGCAACGTGTATGATTTCATGGCGGTTGGCGGCGCATATGATTTTTCATGGCGGTTGGCAACGCATATGATCTTTCATTGGTGGTTGGCAACGCATATGAATTTTCATGGTGGTTGGCAACATGTACGATTTCATAGCGGTTGGCACCGCGTATGAATCTTCATGGTGGCTGGCAACGTGTATGATTTCATGGTGGTTGGCAACGTATATTGTTTTCATGGCGGTTGGCAACACATATGATTTCATGGTGGTTGGTAAAGCATATGAGTTTTCATGCTGGCTGGCAGCGCACATGATTTTCATGCCGGTTGGCAACGCATATGACTTTTTGTGGTGGTTGGCAACGTGTATGATTTTCATGGCGGTTGGCAACGCTCATGAGTTCAGGTTTACGCCCTTGGCGACGCACATGACTTTCATTGTGGTTGGCGACGCATATGATTTCATGGTGGTTGGCAACGGATATGATTTTCATGGTGGTTGGCAACAAGTATGATTTCATGGTGGCTAATGCATATGATTTCATGGTGGTTGGCAACGCATATGACTTTTAATGGTGGTTGGCAACGTGTATGATTTTCATGGCGGTTGGCAACGCTCATGAGTTCAGGTTTACGCCTTGGCGGCCGCAGCGTCCATGACGCACATGTTTTTCATTGTGGTTGGCAACGCATATGATTTCATGGTGGTTGGCAACGGATATGATTTTCATGGTGGTTGGCAACGTGTATGATTTCATGGTGGTTGGCAATGCATATGATTTCATGGTGGTTGGCAACGTGTATGATTTCATGGTGGTTGGCAATGCATATGATTTCATGGTGGTTGGCAGCGCATATGAATATGATGTCCGTGGCGGTTTGGCAGCCTGTATGATTTCGCGGTGGTTGGCAACGTGTATGATTTCATGGCGGTTGGCAACGCGTATGAATTTTCATGGCGGTTGGCGGCGCATATGACTTTTCATGGTGGTTGGCAACGTGTGTGACCCCTAATAATTGATAAATCCAACTTTAGGGTCCGGTTTTGAAACAGATCTCACCCAGAGATGGCGCTGGCCAAACACTATGTGCATGGCCATGCAAGAGCAATATGTCATCCTTCACAAAATGAAACAAACAGGGGTTCGGTTTTGCGGAGTGCTCAAGAGAGCGAGAGGCGATCTGCAATGGTGGAAACAAAAGGGGAATCAAAAGTATTGTTTTTGAACAACAAGTGTTCAAGCATTGTTTCCGCGGGTTGATAACCTACCAAATCCAAACATGGCACACACGGGTGTACATATATATATAAGTATGTATATATATATATATATATATATGTATCTATGTATGTCTTTCAAAGGCAAAGCATATGTTAGCCAGTCCCTCCGATGCCCCAAAACCAAGAAAAGCGAGAACATGTGAGTCACAATCAAAACCCGGTATCAAAATGTTCCACCCAGAAGCATGTAAAGAATTAAGAGGGCGAATACCCGCAGCTATTTGTGGTTGGGACTGTCCCTTACTAACCTTCATCTACCCGAGTTTTGATTATGACTCATGTCACCCCCAGCCAACAACCCCCCCCCAGACCCGCAGACCAGCAGACCACTCCCTCGCCTGGCCGGCGCGCTCCTCCCTCGCCGGCGCCGCCTCGGCCAGGGACTTCTTCAGCGTCTCCAGCCTGCCACCCGCGCAAAACGACCAACGCGGAACCCGACGCGGCGTCTTCCAAAATTGATGGGGGGGGGGGGAGTCAAAGGGGTGGGTTAGAGGAAACTTGACAGGAAAACGGGGCTGATTTACGGGAGGGATCCCCAAGTAAAGAACCACCACTCTTGGAACGGGCGCCTTTTCCGCCTTGTTTTTGGCTTCGATTCGGCTTCGGCTCGGCCTGTTCTGCAGCTCCTCCTCCACCTGCTTCACCACCACGCTGTCGAAGCTCCCGCGGCTCGCCGGCTCCTGTCCGGCCGAGTCCGACTCTCCGCGTGCCCGCCTCCGGCTTCGCGGCGGGGGTCATGCTTGGTTGACGTTGGAAGGGGAGCAGAAATTTTCAAATTTTAGCAGTTCAGTGGGGATTTCCCACTAAACCACCAGAAGCAAAAATGTAAAATATGTCCCAACAACCATGAAACATGGGGGCTGGGGGGGAGGGAGGGGAAGGCGGAGCCCAAGTAAGCCCTTCTTAAGCCCCTAAGGCCATATTTGGAGCTTATTGGGGCTCCCCGCTCCCTCCCTCCCTCCCTCCCAGGTTCCATGATGGGGGCGTAGGCCACTTGTCAGGAGTCCAGTTCCGGGCTTCCGAGTTGTCCACCCCGCGGCTTTCCGAGCTAAAACGCGCTTCAGCGAGGCCCCCTGCTTGAAGTGTGGAGTGCTATCTCACCGGAGACTCGCAAGGTCCGGATGTTTGGAGGCCACTTTGCCCAAGCTGAATGTGGCGGTGGCTCAAAACTAAAGAGCTAGGGTTACGCAGGTGTTGGTCCATGTTTCCACTTACCAGGGCAAGCCATTTTGGAATTCCGTTTTTTTTTGAGCCATACCCATGTGATTCCATCTGACTAGCCAGGTCTTCACATGCGACGCAGTATTCAATAGCAAAACATTCTGACGTGAAGATGATCGCATCCGCGAAATAAGATAGGACAGGACAAAGCCTGGCTGAAGTATCCCCCCTCCAAGAGACAAGAGACATTGCTTGGTGCACAGAACCCCTTTCCAAATATAAAGTGGTTGTCTTCCAAGAGGGGCACACGGTGCACCAAACCATGTTTTTTTTGGGAGGACTAAGCTTTGTTTCATGTCGTATGGTCGTCGTGTTCAAACCAATCTCACTGTAAACCCATCCAGGTTCCCCTTCCCGATCCAGCAGTACCACCCCGGAGAAACCAGATTGCCACTGCCATGCATGATGTCTGGGCTGTCCAAACCGATCCCCTGCTCAATCATTTCAACTTTTACTGGGCCAAAGTCAGACACCCAAGCACTAAACCAACAAAAATACGTCCTACCCTCCCTCCCACTAACGTAGCACCTGTGGGAGGGTACCTGGAAGATCAATTTCCTCTCATAGGGACCATTTCTGAGGTGCCATGTGAGTGGGAGAGAGGGTAAACGATTGGCCGCGAAGCACTGAAAGGCCATGACCACGCGGCTGTGGGTCAAAAATGGGTAGCCAAAATGGCTTGCCCTGGTAAATGGAACCAAGGACTAAAACTTGCGGTCCGATTCCTGGTGGTTAAACAGGGATCCTTACATATACACCTGAACATAGCCTTGTAAATGGTGGTTTCCTTTTATTCTGGTGTTGAAGAAGCCATGCTTCAAATGGTTACGCAAAATGTAGATCTTTTGAGGAGCCCTGTTAAGTTTTGACCCATACCCGACCCCGCGCTCCTTGCTCAAAGCGCTGGGCAGCGAGGTGATCAGAGCGGTGTCAAAGCCCCAGTCCTCGCCGAAACGAAGCCGTGCTCCCAAAACGGGCCCTGTGAATTTACCGCCAAATGTTGGGAGGGGTACCCAACATCGAACCCTGGTAAGTGGTAACATAGACCAAAACTTGCGGTCCGATTCCTGGTGGTTTCATGTTGATCCATACCCAAATGTTGGGAGGAAAACCATTCACCAGGGTTCAAACGGAAACTCAGCTTTACCCCCGCAGCTAGACATGACTGCTGTTCCACAACCGGCACTATGTTTCTGATAAAAGTCACTCTTTCAAGTGGTAGGTTATAGGGAAACCACCGACAAAAAAAATGGTAAAATACAATGAGCAGCAAAAGGGGACTTTTTTGCGGGCTGATCCCATTTTGGTGGGGCTTGATTGCATTTGTATATGTGTGTGTGTGTGTGTGCCAGTTAAATGTTTGGGTGGTGATGCCCCCTGTGGTCCTGCATTTCCCAAAAAACATCACGGCAACAGGAAGATCACTTGAACTCAACCCAGGTGACGTCTCAAACCAAATGGGGAGGAAAAAAACTCATCGGGAACCTTTCAAGTGCCAACCTCAAGCCGTGTCTTCTCCATATTTCCCCTACACGTCAATGTGTGTCTCCGCCCACCTCGGGCTCACAATCAATTTCTTCCCAGAAGGGGCCAACAAAAGAAACGCGCGGATGAAACAAAACGCTTTCGCGCCATCTGGAGGGGGGTGGAATGCCAGAAAAACTCCCAGCCCCGGAGCTTCCATTTGCCTAAGTCCCTAGAAAAAAATGAAAATATATGTCCCAGTAGCGAAATCGATTCCCTTCAAAACCAACAGGGGAGCAAAAAAAAAAAACGGATTCCTTTCAGCGAATGGAAGATGTTCTTCCAGCTCCTGGCACCCCTCAACCTGGCTGGAACTAGGACTAGTTCCACAAAAAATCAAAAACGTAAAAATGTTTCCCAACAACAACCATGCAGCCCCGGAGTAAAAAAGAGAAGAAAAAAAAACACGGCGCACAGAACATGGCGGCGGCGAGGCCAACGCAGCGAGCGAGCGGAGGTAAACGCCGCAAGCCTTGCCCAGCTTCGTGAGCTCCTGCACGCCCTGGCGCAATTTTTGACATGGCGACATTCGGCCACGTGGCTCAAAAAAACATAGGACCAAAGCAAGGGTGCCAGAACAAGGGTGCCAAAACAAGGGTGCCAAAACAAGGGTGCCAAAACAAGGGTGCCAGAACAAGGGTGCCAGAAAAAGGGTGCCAGAACAAGGCTGCCATGTGGCTGTGACTCAAACATTGCCAGACAAGCGAAGGGTGCCATTTGCCCATTTAAGGCCATTTGTCAAGCTTCAAAAAAAGAGTACCGGAATTCCAAAAAAATATTCTTGTTCTGGGAATGGACCAAAGGAACCAAAACCTGCGGTCGGTTTGCCCCTGGTTAGTTTTGAGGTGTGGCGAAGAGGCTCGATGTCAGCTTCCTGGTTATGAGTGTTGAGTCTGGCGAAATAACCTAGGTCCTCCAGATTTGACAGGTTGGAAGAAGGGTACCAGAGCTTTTTTTCCGCTTTTAGTAGGGGGGTTGCTCCCAACCAAAAAAAGAAACGGCAAGAAAGGGCACTACTGGGGGACCTAGTAACTCACAAAAACGCCATGGCTTGGTTCAGTCTGCTCTCCGTGGGTCATAACCCCCCAGGCTTACCGCTTGCCGCTGACAAAGTTCCCTGCCAGAAGTCACCCGAAGAATTGGCGGATTGGAGCCGAATCGGTGGCTGAAATGGAGTGGTAAACCCCATGTACCCTCTACAACAGCCAGGGGTGAAAAATGTCCAAATCCAGAGCACCAATCCAAACCACCAACCAAGGCAACCTGAGTCGCAATCAAAACCTGGTACTAAAATGGTCTACCCAGAACCATGTACCGGATTAAGAAGGTATTTCTGGTTGGGATCGTCCCTGACTAACCTTCATCTACCCGGGGTTTGAGCAAGTGGCTCACCTCATCTTTAAACCAGAAAGTGCTGGTGGATCCAACACCCCTTCCGTGGATGCTTCATCCCAAGGATTGGTTTTGATAGATGGTCAGACTTTTGGGTCTGACTTTTGTTGATGGCGCCCTTTTTAAGGGTGGATCCAAAAGGGAACAAAGGAAATCAACATTTTGGAGGGACCCCGACATCAAGGCGCACCTAGAAGCTGCTATGTCCCTATCAGGACTTTACGAGGGAAATAGGGGTCCATGTCTGTGAGCTCAACCCAAAGGGTCCTGAAATCCTTTTGAGAACCGGTGAGCCATGGCATGGAAGGAAAAAAAACGGTCTGTGACCAGGTGAGCCACGGTCAATATCCATCAGAGCTCAACATTCTTGATGGTCCGCTAGGCAGGAAATGAGTTGGAATGGCCCCGACAAAAACCTTCCCCGGCTTGGCTTCCTCTAAGGGAATCCCCTTCCGGTTCATTCCCAACACCCGGAACGTCATTCCCCCCCTATCGCACCAGCAAGCATTTCGGACGGGCGGGTTTTTGCCCCCCCCCAGTACAGGGATTTGTTTGTACGGACCAGAGACTGCTTGGTGTGGCTTCCCCCCCGGTTTACCGTAAAACACACCAGCACACGCACAGCACCCGTGCGCATGGAAAGCTTCAAGGCCCTGGAAAGCTTCGGGGCAGGCGCGGGGACAATCTCAAGGATTGGGCCACGCTCCTCCCTTTGAGGGTTACCAATTTATTTCATATGGCCATGGGTCAAAAGCCAAATCGTACCCCCAGTGAACATCCCAATCCCCAAATAAAATAGACTAAAACGGGTAGTGCACGTATCCCAAAATGGTACCATTGGTTTTGAACCATGGCCATATGGAACCCAAACAGGGGCTGCCTTTTGGACACTGAGTGTAGGTTGGGTGCCATGCTCAATGCCAATCTGCGAGCCTTGGGGGGGGGGCTAAGAATTACCACATTCAGCCACCGGAATCATGGTCATGGTCAACATATGCGGTTGCAGTGAAGGACGAGAAACTTAGAGTTTATTGTTTTTGGTGAGTAATTTCTGAGGTCTCATAATCTTCACACAACTCTGAGCTACACCAAAAAGAATCGAAAAACACAGGATTCTGCAAACCTCGTCTAGCCCAATTGATAGAATCACTTGTTTGGAGACCCCAGCCTCCTAGCCCCTCCCCAATGGGAGTGTCTTTTTGGTCCACCCCCAAGATGGTGCTCCTTTTGGTTTCCCTTACCCCCATCAGAAAGAGCGGCAACCTCCCAAAAAGGACAGACCCAAATTCACACATCTGGCAAAAAAAACTCACCGCAGCCTTCCGAGCGCTGGTTGCAGCCATTCCCGAAGCCACCAGCCCGAAACCCGATGCGCGCGACTCGCCTTGGTGATGAGAGCCGGCTGAAGTGCTCCCTCCTTGCAGGGCACGAAGATGGTCTCGATGGTGGACCTCAGTCTCCACTCTTCAGCTCTCTCATTGGTGCTTAAAGGGGCGATCGATGCGATCGGCTACGTCAGGTAAGTGGTGATCGTAAGCCTGGTGAACTATAACCCACTGAACGGAGACTCCTAACCATGGCGTTCAGGCTTACCAACCATTTACTAAGTACCCTTTCGCCTTTCGCCCCTTTAAGAACCTCCCACCAATTAACATGGAACCTGACAGGCTGGCAGGGTTTTGCAAAACCATTTTCTTTTCAAGAGACCAATTCCCTGTCAGGTTCCATGTCAATTGGCTGTGGCTCAAAAAACCGATACCAAAATCAACCCTGGTAAGTGGACACATGATCCAAAGTGAGGGTTACCAGAGCTTTGGCACGCAGAAACGCCCTTCCTTTGAAGCAACCGGTAGGATTCGTGGGTCTTCTCAATATTGCGGCCTTGTTGGGGGAAAAGGAAGGCCAAAGGGAATCTTTGGACCGAGCAACTGGAGTTTCCCCTCTTAGGTCCTTCGGTTTGCAACTGTCACTTTTGGAGCAGGAGTTTCTCGAATCGGTGGACTCCCCCTTTTGGGGGAGGACACTCAAAGGGACGCCAGAAGGATACCAACAATTGTAGGGGACCACTATGTTAAAAAGCACCCTGGAGAGTCACAAGAAATGTATGAGGATGGTCTCCTTTCAACTTCGCATGACTATAAATTGCCACGCTGCATCCATGCCGCGCTGCATCCATTCATCCATCCATCCGTCCGTCCATCCATCCATCCAATCCAATCCAGGGTGTTTATTCTTGTTCTAGGCGAACCCTTTTCGTTTGGTGGCAAGGGATGTTGCCCACCAAGTTCTTGTGAGTGTCCGAAATGCTTATTTGGCCATGGGTCAAAAGCCCGTCCCCCTAGTGAACATCCCAATCCCCACTAAAATAGAGTAAAATGGGTGGTGCACCTACCCCAAAATGGTATTGGTTTTGACCCACAGCCATTTAATAACACCAAGCTTCCGGACCAAATTTCCGTCCAAATCTCTGCACACGTTGACCACATCTATTTCGCCGGCACTCGGTCGAATCGCAGGCACGCGGTCGATAGCTGTCGCCCGCATAGGTGTCCTTTTTGGTAAACTAGATGGGTTTCCCTGCTACCCTCCCACCAACTAACGTGGAAGTGCAAAAAGGCCCCTTTCCAAGAGGAACGTAGTCTTTCTACAGGGGGTCTGTGCACGTCCATGTTTGCTGGTGGGATGGTAGATTCAACAAAACCCATCTAAGCCAGTGGCTTGCCCATCTACTTCTCATCAAAGCAGGGTTGTGGGATCTCTCGGGGGTTATCCAACCGCTTCTGCGATACTTGTGGGAATCTCCCCCTCTTACTGGCAAACTTGTCTTTGGAAAGCCCTTTCTGCTGTATCACGGATTCATGGATTCCATTTCAACCACAGCCCTGAATCAAAGTAACCACTGCACTCCCTCGGACTGACAGCCGGAAGCTCCACCAATTGGCCTCTGCCTGCAAACTGGAAAAACCACGTCTTCCATCTCGGGGTCCGTTCGGGAGAATCCGTCTGGGTTTTAGCAGGGATCCTTACATTATACACCTGAACATTGCAACTTGTTTTCTGGTGGTGGTGTCCAACTTTATTTTGGTGTTGAAAAAACAGCCAGCCACATGTTTCAAATGTTACAGAAAATGTATCGATCTTTTAAGATTGCCTTGTAAATGGTGGTTTCCCTTATTTTGTTGAAGAAGCAACATGTTTCAAACGGTTGCAAAATGTATCTTTTAAGGAGCCCGGTTTTTGGGTAACCCATCAAGAGCACCTCTCGTCACCCACCTGGTCGCCGGAAGCTCCCGAGGCTCCGGGCTCCAGCTTGGCCTTCTTGGATTCGTTCCCCGCCAGCTCGGCATCGCCGGCCTCGAGCCATGGAAGCAAGGCCGGGGCGGTTGGCGGGGCGATTTTCGTCGGAAAACACGGCGAAATGGGTGCTCCTCTGGTTTAAGACATGCTTGGGTTCCTCTTGGTTCCTCCAGGAGCGGTTCTCCCCATTCCCCCCCCCCTTGGAAAGTGGAAACCACAGCTGAGAGATGTGGCTTCACCCTTTGCAGGTGAGGATTTTGTCGATTGGAGAATCAGCCGCAGCACTTCTTCGAACGCCTGAAAGGTTTGGGTGCTGCGGGCCCACGGCCAGAGGGAAGAAACACCCAACCCAGACGTGGTTCGCCAACCCGACAAAAGGGGTTCCAAAAAAAAAACGGCCGCGAGCCTCATGGAAGTCGCGACACCCCCTTGGTGAGGTCGCCACAAGTTGTCCCCAGAATACTGGGGGGGGCCATGTGTTGTCCATCCCCAACCTGCTTGCTGATCCTCTGCTTACATCTTGTAGAGTGCGAAAAACCAATGCCCTCACGTCCTCAACGGGTTAGAATCCCGAGATGGGCTCGTCCAAGATCCGTCCCCGCATGAGGTGTCAAGAATCGTGTTGTAAGAAAATTATTGGGAAAAATGGAAGACTAGCAACATGCAAGTAACTCTTGCGCCCCTCATATGACCGCATATGGCAACGTGGGACATGTGCTTTTGTATGGTGCAGTTCCCCCCCCCCCCCCCCGACATGCATTTCAAACGCTCATTATTTCATATACCAACCCTGACCAACCCCGGAAAATGGAGTTCATATGTGTACACATGTATTCCTGGGGCACCAACTCGCAACGCACATTCAAGCAAATATGTGCTGTATGTACATACACACATCCGACTGCACGTGCATATACATATTATACATTCTGTGCATGGACGAGATCCATTTCGCACCACCTAAAACACCCTGGGGTGATGCTTCCCCTATAAATACCGGTTTGCAAACCTTCTGGTTTGCTCTGGTTTCAGCTCGTGGTGCTTTAGAAGCGGATCTCGATTTCAAGCACAGTATCAAGGAGCAGGGGCTAAACCTCTAAGCCAAGCAAGCGGCTGGGACCTTGAGGCCATGATCAGCTGCCTGATCTGATCCCAACTCAGCAAACCAGAATCGATGGGAAAATCGAGGCCTCGTCCATTTCAAAGGTGGGGCACGAACTTCTTGTCACGGGCCTTTATGAGGCAATAGGATCGTCTCCATGAGTTTCATTTGCTTCTTCGCGCCCTAGAAAAACAAATGAGAGAGATCGATTCCCCATAAACAAAAATGATACATACATATATATATATATATATATATGTGTGTGTATATATATATAGATTCCTTTCAGGACGTGGGTCCCATGAAAAAATAAACCTTCGCGCCTTCTGCTCCTGCTCCGCCTTCTTCAGCGCCTTCACGGCCGATCCGCCGGCCATCGATCCATCCGCTCCGAACCCGATCGATCCATCGATCCCATGCCAGCGGGGATCGGACCACCAAAGGAAACCCGGGAAACCTCCACGGTGCCTTGGTATTTCATGGCTGGGGGGGGAAGGGAGGGGGAGGGCTTCATAAGCCCGGAACTGGACTCCTGACAAGTGGCCTACGCCCCCACAAAGGTTGGGGGGGGAAGGGAGGGGGAGGGAGCCCAAAGAAGCCTTTGCAAATAAGGCCTTATTAAGGGCTTCATAAGGCTTATTTGGGCTCCCTCCCCCTCCCCCCCCCCCCAGCCCCCATGAGTATTTTTGCAGAGGGGGATCGAAACATTTCTGGTGTGGATGGACGAAATCCATTTCGCACCGAATGATGATTCCCCTGTAAATACCAACAAACAATGGGTTTCTCTCTTTTCATTTCGTGGTGCGAACGGATTTTATCCATCCACAGTATCCACTTGATTAGTGTCATGCTTATTTGTGACTTGAGGATGTCTTTTGGGTTTGGGTCAAAACTAGGTACCATGGCAAATGGAGAGGACTAAAACCTGCGGTCCGATTTGGCTGCGGCTCAAAAACATGTACCCAAATTGCATCTTGGCAAATGGAACCAAAGACTAGCTGCGTAACGATAGCTCTTAAATTTTGAGCCGCGCCCATGTCCGGTGGTTTGATTTTGACACAGTTTGCTGTCCCAAATCATCCGCGCCTCGTTCGCCGCCTTCATCTCTGCGACAGCCGCCTGGACCTCCTGAAACCCATTGGCGGCAACGAAGCGACAGAGCGGTGGCAGGGGCAAGCGTCCAAACCTCTGAGGAACTGACAGAAAACACCGTTAAAACACTGCCGCAATCAAAATAACATGTCTATGCAAATATGTATATATATATATATATATACATATAGACTGAGAGAGAGAGAGAGAAATAGATATGATACATATTCAAAAAAAAATGTACACATACACGGGCATATGCGTAATTCCCATGTTGGAGCGACAATTTTGGCAAGTGCGCCCCACAGCACTCATGAACTTTCTGAAGGAGGACTATTTGAAAGATCCAATAGCAAGAAAGGGCGTCCTTGTTTGGGCACTTCAATTTACAGCCAAATAGAAACGGTCACTGGCAAATAGTTTTTCGGCGTTTACCTTTGGCCTCGAAAACAGCCGGTGCTCTCGTTGCAACACTCTCAAGTCGACCCTTGAAAAAAGAGGCACCGATTGATCCGGCCGATTCGCTTTGAACTGAGAAAAAGGACTCCGATGAAAAAACAACACACCCATTTGGCTTGCTGGCTCTCAGCAGAGAACGAGAAAGGGAATAACCCGAACAAAAACCATCCCCCATGGTTTCCTCTAAGGGAATCCCCAAAACTGTTCATTCCCGACACCCGGACTAGTTGTTATTCCCTATCGCACCAAGGGGGTGAGGAGTGAGGACCGAGGCGAGACGCCCAAACCGCGAATCCACCGTCGTTGGCACAAAACCACACGCCCAAAAATGATAAGGCGGATGGAAAAAAAGGGGGGAAAAACAGAAAAAAAGAAGAACCGGGTGGTGTGCATGCCTCCCCCACTGCAAACGACCACAGACGAATCCGACGACTCCGACGGCGCCTTCTTGGCCGAATCCAGGGCCTCGGAGCCCTGAACAGCCTTGGCCTTGGTCTCCTGCCATCCCCCCCGCCCCGCGCCTCGAGGCGAGCAAAAAACCCACCGCGGAACGGTCGCGGAACGCGCAGGAGGCGCGTCAGGCGCTTCGAGCGTTTTGGGGTGGCCTTCCAAGGCGCGGGGGGGGGGGGGGAACAAAAAAACATGTGGCACCAAATAGAACGTGCGTTGTGTGCCGTTGCTCTTTTTGCTTAAACGGCATGTGGCACCAAATAGAACGTGCGTTTGTGTGCCGTTGCTTTTTGCTTGAACGGAACAAATGAAGAAAACAGAAAGTGACATGAAAACAGAACTCCGCGAGACTCTGGACCGCCTTTTTTGGGGATGGGTTTAAAGGGAAACCGTTCACCCACGGGCCAAGAACCCTTGTGATACCAAAATGGAAATCCGAAACTCCACCATGACGCAACCCTCGCAGAGGGTTGGTTGAAATGGGAAGTTGGGATCGGCCCCCTTTTCGGGGGTAGAAAAGTTCCTTCCAGCGCAAGGGCCTGCGACAACAAAAGAAAATTATGCCTCTTCCGGTTTCCTTGGCTACGGCAGGTGACACATGTCGTTGCAACATTGGGGTGGCATGTCTCTTCACCCGCAGCGTTGATAAGCTTCTCAAGCGTTCCCTGGAGAACTCATGTCAATCACCTATCCGCGTCTTGACACAAACCCATACAGAAGCATCCCCCAAGGTTCCCTCTAGGGACTTCAGCAACCCAAGCGCCAAGCTGATTGAAACAAAGAAGCCAGGATCAATATCTGTCCAACATGGAATCCACCGCATCCCTTTCAGAGGAATCCCCAAATCAGCTCTTTCTGTTTTTGGGCGCAGAGGTCTGGAACATGTTGACTCAGATTCTCCAGCCCCTCTTTGGTTGGGAAACCCGGAGGGGAGATCGCGCATCTGGGCTGCCTTAGTGGGTAAAACTCGGAAACCCAACCACCAAACCAACAAAATACCAAACAACAAACCAACAGCATAAAACCTACAAACCAACAAACCAGCTCCACCAAGCCTACAAAACCTAAAACCTAAAACCTACAAAGCTACAACATAAAACCAGCTCCACCAAACCAACAAAACACCAAAAAAAAACAACCCAAGGAACCCGGGCGGCGTACTTCGCGCTTCGCACCCAGAAATCCATGGGGGGGAAGGCACGCAGCACCAAAAAAACTCCCCTATGTCTTCCCCCTATAAAACACCCAGAAATCATGGAAAGAAGCGCGCAGCACAAGACTCCCCCCTGTGTTTCCCCTCTAAAAAACATCACCCCGGCCAAAAAGGGAAGCTCGCCTTTTAAACTCGCCGAGAAAGGCGACGAACGGCCCCTGGACTGGATCAGAAAGCGGTGGCTTTGTCCATCGAGGAGCTGCGTTTTATGGGCGTGCCAAGAACTTGCTCCTTTTTGGCGGCCCCCTACAAAATTTGTTGCTTTTTTATTTTTTATTTGTTTAATAAAAACAAAAAAAAATGGAAGAGGGCAAGAGACCAAAAGGCTGAAAACCCGCGAAAAGCTTCATCCAAGTGCCAAGAAAAAAGCTGCAACTTGGCCATCTGGGTATCTCTGGCACCCAGGCTGCATGGTATCTGCCACCCAGCCCTTGACTAAAAGCCCAAAAGGCTCTCCTCCACGGCCGCCTGACGGGTCTCGGAAGCTTCAGCAAACCAACCCCTTCCCCCCCCCCCCCCCCGAAAACATGAGAAAATATGTCTGGTAGTGATAGATTCCAACGTTAAAACCAACAAAGGAAAAAAACAAATGCAAATGGAAGCAGGGGAAGGTAGGAAAGGAACCAAAAGTCAACGAGTTGGGTACAGAAAATGGCCCCAGAACACCCTAGATCAGATGTCTTCCTGTAGAATTTCCGGAAACCCAACCCTTTGAGAAAGGAATTATCAACTGAGAAGTGCGATTGAAATGATATTCCAAAGAGAAGTGTTCCGATAGAAGCTCTGAGTGAAGGGACGTTAGGACACTTTTCGCAAGGCACAGAATGTCCGATCTTCTGCGACTCGAGTCGCCGAGAATCGGAAACACGACGAAAGCCCCAAGGGTCGCAACCGAAAGGAATCAAAGGGTCGTGCTGGGCTGGCAACACTGCCAGTAGCCCCAGCCAGTAGCCCCATCTCTGCTCGCTTGGATTTTTCCAACCAGAATGAGGAAGCCATCCGGCTGACGCTGGCATGGCAGAAGGCTTCACTGCCGGGGGACGATTGCGCACCACCCCACTGCCAGCACGTGGCCCGGACAGAGCAGAGCCAATCCCCTGACTGGATCCCTTAAGCAGAGTGCACCTCGAAAGCGTCAAAAGGAAACGCGCCATCCTCGCGCGCATTAGATCCAAACCCACCAAAAGAGTCCAAGGCTCACATATACAGTTCCGGTATGTTCCGGTTGTTCCAAGCTTGGAGTCTAAGAATCTTAGGACCTCTCTTGGGTACCCTGAATTCTGTGAATGTTACAATATGTCCAAAACCTGACGTAAGAATTGGATCCCCAAGGGATCTTTACCCATGATGAGCTCGTGTTACCCCCGGATCGGTGATCGCTATAAAACTCAGTCGGTTTCTGCTCCCCTGCTAAAAGTTCAATTCTTAGTGGAAAAAAAAAACGGAAAACCCATGAGCTCGTTGGCAAAAAGTGGTTCAGTGCTAACATCCCTTGGCACAATGCAACAAAGAAAATCGGCGGCTGCCACGCCAAAGCCTCCCCAACTCGCCAACTCGCCTCGCGGGTGGCCTTCTCAGCGTCCGCCTTCTCCAGCTTCTCCTGGCGCCGAAAATTTTCGGGGTGAAACCCGTCGGCCAATCGCGCGGGTTCCGACAAAAACAATCCGAGGTCTAAACTGGGCGGTGCGATGTTTTTTCTTCTGCTGAAAGTTGAAAAAGACAAAGTGGGCGAAATGGGAACCAACCACTAAAACGAAAGACCGAAAAACCGAAGGCGGAGGCTATGAACCACCGAGCAAAGTGACCCATATGCTGATTGCTTGCTTTTTTGCGCCCGCCTCGGTTTTCAAGCTCAGGAAACAAAGGAATCACCTTCCAGATTGCCCCGAGCCTTCCAAAGACTCGGTGCAAAGATCCGGTTTTACCCTCGGTGCCCTTCTTTGGGCGGGCGAAACGGCAGCGACCCTGTCCTTGGCCGCGGAGATCTTCCCCTCGATGCCGGCCTCGCGATTCCGGAAGCGGAAAATGCGACGACAAGGGCGGTTCAGGTTGCAAGAAAAAGTGAAATACCTACAGTCTCCACAGGAAAGTTGGGATGGGTTCTAATATCCCCATGTTGTTTTTTGTTTTCTACCCCAAAGCTAACGGCGGACGGGCGCATGCTGTTGGGGATATCACCGAGCTCTTCCTTTACGGGGGTTATGGAGACGCACCCTTCCCAGCGTGCCTTGATAGAGGCGAGCACTTCACCGGCCATCTCAGCCACACGCGCCTGCGTCAAACGCTGGTTTCGGTAAAAACAAAAAAAACAAAAAACGAAACGGGTGACCACCTTAGTTGACTGAGCGAATTGTTGGGTACTCCGGCATTCCACTCTTCTTGGGGGCTGCCGTAGACCCAAAAAGGGGCGGCCTGTCAAATAATGACAGCCTGTTGTTGGATGAAATCCTGCACCACCCAACAAAGCTTGGGATGATGATTCCCTGCAAGTACCAACAACTAATTGTTTCCCATTGCTTCCAAGTGGTGCAGGATTCCGTCCATCCACAGTAACGCTCAATCTTTGTTCCTCTGGAGTAGAGAAGGCCCCCAGCCGTCGCCTTTCCACCAGGCAGATAAACCCCACAAACCCCGCACAGCCCGGCCTGGAAGGCGTGCCTGTCCTCTTTCGGCTCAGACAAACCTCGGAGCGCGGCGAGACCCCTAAAAAGGCCAGGTGACGTCAGAATCAAAACCGAGCGGTCTTAAAAAATGGTCCAAGCCCAGAAGCATGCTTCAAGAACAAAGAGGGCGGATATCCGCAGCGATTTGTGGTTGAGAGTATCCTGTACCAACCTTCATTTACTCGAGTTTTGATCGAGCAATTGGCTCGACCGTGATCTCCAGATCAGATTCTCGGGAATCAGGTTCTTGCTTGGGAGCCAAGATGTGGCTGTGGCTCAAAAAACCGGCACCAAAATGGAACCCTGGTGAGTGGAAGCATGGACCAAAACCTGCGTAACCCCTCCTTTTTAATTTTGAGCCACACCCATGTGGGGTTCCCAAAACAAGCCCCACACATCAGGGAGAGGAAGGCCCCGTGAGTGGGCGGACGTTGTCGGAACCAAGCACCGGCTGGATTTTTTTCTGGTGTCGCATCCAGGCCCCGGAAGAACCTGCCTCCTTCCATACACCGAAGCACCTGGGGTGAAGACCCGGGTAAAGGTTTTTCTTCTTTTCTGGTTCATATCATCTCTACTCTTGGTATGGTAGCAAGAAACCGACTGTTTTTTGCAGACCCCCAGCTAAAAATGAACAGAACCAAAAAAAAATGATCCAAGAACCGCGAAGATATGTATCCTTTCACCCCTCGAGAAAGCACCTCCTGCCTCTTCCCTTGGGTCGTAACCTCCGGCGTTTTAAGGCGAGGGGCAGGCGGCCAGGTTCTCGCCTGAGGCCGCGGAGAAAGAAAAAAAAAAGCGCGCCGTGGTCGGAGCGAGGGTGTGGGGTTTTGGGGGGCTTTGGGTTTGGGGCGCAAGGGGTTAGTTTACGGGTTTGGGGGTTGGGGGCTTGAGGTTTCGGGTTTAAGGCACAGTTCAAGTTTCCCAAGGAAGCCTTAGCTGGGTCAAGCCACCCAAGCAAACAGAGCCACCCATACTGCAACAAGCCCTCGTCTTCATGCATCATGGTTCGAAAGGAAGACCGCTGACAGTTGGAGGCGCTTTGACTTTTGGAGGTGACTTGTCATTGAGTTGTTTTATGTGCCTCTCGCACATGAAGGACAAAGAGTGAAGGGGCGACTGGACTCCCTGACGCACAAGACATATCCACGCCAGGAGCAAAGCTGCCTGGACTTTCCCTATGGCTCAGCTGTCATTCCAAACTCTGGGTCATGGTCGGCTGCGCTTTTTGTTTTTTCCACATGTGCCATGAAATCCCAAGGCAGAATTAATTCGCCACTCGGCGCTCAAAGACTTAGCGTATCTTGCTTGACTTGTTACCGTCTGCGGGAAACAAACAGAAACGAGCCCGATTTTTGTAAGACAAACTCACTTCAAGCGCACGCCATCGCCGAACCCATCAGCTGTTGGCTCTATGCTTCGAACTGCTTCAACCCCCCCTCCCCCCCCCCGTATCAAGAAAAGAAACTCACCCGCACCCAAACCCCTGAACAGAATCTCTCTTTCCGTTTTCCTTTTCCCCAAACCCGAAAAACCCGCGTGGCCCAAGGCACCAACGCAACTCGCCGCGACCAACTCGCCTAAGTCCTCCAGTAGAGAGGTTAGAACAAGTTGGCACCAACTTTTTTTCGGTAGTCTATTTTCGTAGGGTTCGGTTCCCTCCCAACCAAAAAAAGGTGAGAAAGCGCACTACTGAACCTAGTCACTAGACCTAGTCGCTCGCTTCCGGGCGGGGCCCCGGGCTCAGCATGGCCAGCACCTGCGGCGGGTAGGCCTCCGCGCCCGCCAGCGCCCTGGCCACCTCCTGGCGCTTCGTCGCTGCGCGCGCGGGGGGGGGGGGGGCGCGGGAGGGAGAGGTGAGGAAAAAAAAAAAGCGAAAGAAACAATTCAAATGGGGAGGGAAAGGGGGGGGGAAGGAGGGGGGAAAAGGGGGGGGGAAGGGGGGAAGGAGGGGGGGAAAACGGGCGGGAAGGAGGGGGGCGAAGACCTACTTTGAGGGTGGGTTTCTGGGTCCCGCATTTGTGTTCGTGTGTGCGTGCGTGTCCTTTGTGGCAGCACCCTCTTCAGGTTGGTGTGGAGGGAAACCAAAAGCACATTTCGGACAACCACTTTTGGTTCGGGGTCCGGATGCCCATTTTGACACACATACACACTCTTGAATTTTGAGTCGGGCGTTCGGTCAGTGGATTCGATTCCCTTCCGGAGATGATCCCACATGCATCAAAGCAAGTCAAGTCCTGGGAGCAGCTCTGCTGACAGGCAACCCAAAGGAACAAATGAAAACCCAGCGATCGATCTCTTCGGGGGGCTTCCTGTTTTGACACGCCAAATGACATCGGGGCGCCCAAAGAAACCATTTGGTGTTGACCAACCTTCTGTCAACAACAGGGACATCTTTTCGGCTGCCAGAAGTTTAACTTTTAGTGGGTCAGTTTCGGAAACCCAACCACTAAACCCAAAAAAGCTAACAGCCAAAGGAACCGGGCGATGTACTTGCAAACCACCAAGCATTCCGGGCCGGTTCGCGATTAGATTGCCTGCCACCTCAAACTGTTCGGCGTTCGAGGCCCAAAGGCGAGCGAAGCACGTCAATGAAATGGGTGTGGCTCAAAACTAAGCAGGAGGGGTTACGCAGGTTTTGGTCCATGTTCTGCTTCCACTTACCAGGGTTCCATTTTGGTGCCGGTTTTTTGAGCCATAGCCAAATGAGTCCAAGTAAGACGCAGGAAGAGCTTTGCCAGTAGGCAAACCAGGGCTCCTAAAAGGAAAAAATCCAAAAAAGAACCTTTGCGAAGGAGAGGGATCCTTGAAAACAGCTGGTAAAAGCGAAACATGGTTTGACCAGCTAAATGGGGGTCTTTTTGCAGGGAACCCCCCCGATTTGGTTGGTTTTTTGAAGGGAGCCTTAAAACGGCACAACCCAAATTTATCCCAAAGGACGCGTCGGCAAACCTGCACCCTGCTTTTTGGGGCTCGGGTGGCCGGCATTCGCCCACATTCGCAGCGGCGAAGTAAAGGCCCGGAAGGGGCCATGTACAAGAGGTCTGCGGATCGCGACATCGAATCGGAGACTCTGCTGATCGCGATCGGAATTCGGATGGGACGGCATCCCAAGTCCAGGCAAAGCGACAAGTCTGAAGTCGACCCCGGATTCATAAACCTCGTTGATGAATAGGGAGTGCAAATAGCTCCCCCAAAAGTGGGATCCAGATCCCCTCTCGCATGGTGGGCCCTATTACTCAAGGGTTTATGAGTCCGGGATCAAGCGAATCCACCCGACTCGATGTCGGACCAGTCATGCACGCTGCGCCTCCGGTGCCTGGACGGGGATTTGCCGACACCCGGCAAGGGAGGACTTGCAGCTCACGCGAATTCGAGTCTCTCCTGTGAGTTCTCAGCGCCAAAGGCGCCGGAGGACCCCAGGACCCCCGGAAGGGTAGGAGGTGGGGCAGGGCACTGCAGAGCAAACAAACCAAGAGGCAATAGACTAGGTCCTCCAGTAGAGAGCTTAGAACAAGTTGGTACCAACTTTTTTCTGTAGTCGATTTTAGTAGAAGGGGTTCCCTCCCAACCAACAAAGGATGAGAAAGGGCACTACTGGGGGACCTAGTAGAGATCAAGAGCTCTGGCGACAAACGAAGATGATGAAGATGCAATGCCCAGGATCGAGCTACTGATGGGGGATAAGATTTCGCCCCACACATGCAGAATGAATTCGGAGGGGCCTTCTGCACTTCTCGCGCCAGTTGGGATTCCTCTCTAAAACAGGCGAAGCTCCAAGATGTTTGTCTTCTTCGGTTCCCGTGCTGCCAAACCAAACAAAAGCATTGCTCCCAAAAAAGAGAACACCAGGATCTAGTCTGAATGGACGGACGGTGCAACTCAGCTTCAAAATCTAACAACGCATTCCGGTTTAACAGGATAAACCAAGAGGCTCGGCGCTGACATCACCAGGGCAGTGGTCACGCAACTACTGTGGGTGGACGAAATCCATTTCGCACCACTTTGAAACCAATGGAAACCATTGCTTGTTGGTAGTTACAGGGGAAGCATCACCCCAGGGTTTGTCCGGTGGTGCGAAAAGGATTTTGTCCACCCACAGTATGAGTTCGTCTCCAAATGGGGAAGTGTTGCCCCGCCCTGGAAAAGGTTGCTTCGCTTTGCTCGTCAATTCATTTCGAGGGGGGGGGGGGGGAAGAGCAACGATTCCAAAAGGGGGACCGCCACATGGCACATGGGTGGCTCGTCTATCCCCTTCCTTTTGTTGCTGTCAAAGGAAAACCTAAAGGAAGCAACCCTTTTTGGGGATCCACTGAAAAAAGCACACCACCACATCTTGCCAACTCTTCCATCTGTCCATCTTACCGCAAAGTGCCGAAGGTCCAGGACCTACAACCACAGACTCCCTGGGAAGTCTTGAAGTTGCTACAACGGGTGAGACCACGGCATTGACAGGGCAGCTGGATTCAGCCGAGTTACAATACACGAAGCCAAGCCGGGGTTTTTCAGGCCGGTGCCGTGTTGGCACCGAGCGGCCACCCGAAGTGCTTTCTGAAAGGGGAAAACTGAATCGTGATCCCACTGTGACAAATATGCCAAAGGAGCTATGTAAACGTGTCTGTGCTTATTTTTCCACATGAACAAAGAAGAAAAAGTGTATGCACCTCCGCGTGCCCCAAAAAAGTGTATAACACTGGTAGATGTATGTGTATGTATATATATATAAGAAAATGCAGTGTATATGTATATATATATATATATGCTACATACACATGCAATAGATCAGAATGTCTCCAGGTGGCCAGCAGTGGACTCCGGGATCTCACTTCACAAGTTGTGGGAGGATAGGGCCGGGCATGCCCTTCACAACCACCTCGGCATGGAGCAGAATGGAGGCGCCAAGTGGAGGCGCCAAGTGGGTCTCAGATGGGATGCGATCGGCTACGTCAGGTCAGTGATTGTAAGCCTGTGAAGGATAGCCCACTGAACGGAGACTTGTAACCATGGCTTTGGTGGATTCTAACCAGGCTAGCCTGAACCACTTACTAAGTACAATGCCCCTTTAAGAAACAAATCACCAACAAGGCATCCGGAAGGGATCCTCGAGCTTGATCTCATTCGGTAAGTTCGCCGCCGCCTCAAACTTCCCTTTGCTGAAGGTCCCGGCAAAATATTTCCAGAAGTGATAGATTTCCTTTAAAACCAAAAAGGGAAAATAAAATAAAATATAGTCTTAAGCAAATGGAAGTAAAACTTACCAGTTTTGGAACTTCCCCAAAGGCTGATGTGGTTTTGTCCCATGCGCCAAACCGACGACACCTCCTTTTTTCAATGGCTTGGCCAATGGGCACCCCAAGAGAGCGGCATCTCCAAACCAAAGCCCTGTCTTTGGTTCGAATCGCCTTTTCGGTGATAGCAAGGACAAACCAAACTCGGGGTGGAAACTGTCAATGGGAAGCCGCCCCATTTGCCACCAAATCACCACTGGCACTTCTTCTGGGCAAATGCGAAACCACCCCGGACCACAAGCTCGCCGAGCCCCAACGAACGACCCGGCCTTGCCGATCCTGCCCAAGGAGGTGCCTGAGCGATGCTCCAAGTTCCCAGAGAGCCCCAGAAACAAAACCGAAGAAGCCGGCGGAGGGGAGAGAGGGGAGGAAGAGAAACAGCGAGGAAGCCCGGAAGATGCGAACAGAGCCGGACGGAGGAAAAAGACAAAGCGAGGAAGCCCGGACGCCCGAAAGCCGAGTTCCCGCCAGAGTTCCCCTCCACGCGCTACAAGAAAGCGGACTTGCCGGAAAGCCGCTAGGCTTGGGAATGACTCGGAACCTACATCTTGGAAGCGGCTCGAGCAGGTTGAAATGGCTTTTCATGTTCTATTGTTTTTGTCATTATTATTATTATTATTATTTTTTTCCCGAAAGCATGGCGAAGGGTTCTTCCGCTGGGTTCACTTGAGCTGTTCTCATGAGAGTCATTACAAGGTGTCATTGCAAGGAATCATCATCATGAAAGTCATTGCAAGGAGTCATTGAAAGGAGTCATTGCAAGGAGTCATTGCAAGGAGTCATTGCAAGGAGTCATTGCAAGGAGTCATTGCAAGGAGTCATTGCAAGGAGTCATCATGGATTCATTCAAGAGTCAAAAAGTCATTGCAAGGATGCAAAGGAGTCATTGCAAAGGATCATTGCATCAGTCATAAGGCAGTCATTGCAGGACAAGATTAAGTTCCAAGGAGTCATTCATTGAGTCAATTTCAACATTCACATTGATTGCAACTTGCACTTGACTCCTTGCACTTGCTTGCACTTGACTCCTTGCACTTGCAACTTGCACTTGACTCCATACACTCAACTTGCTCCTTGTACTTGGCTCCTTGCACTTGGCTCCTTGCCTCTCCGTGCTTGCGACACTTGATGCAACTTGCAATGCTCCTTGCACTCCTTGCAATGACTCCTTGAAAAAGCAAGGAGTCAAGTGCAAGTTGCAAGTGCAAGGAGTCAAGTGCAATTGACTTGCGAGGAGTTAAAATCTCTTCTTAGGGCGGCGGGGTAGTGCCGACGACACTACACGAAAATCGACCCTCTGCGGGGATCGGCGTGGTCGAGGTGCAAAAACCCATGGATTTTTTGCGATTTCTGCCCTGCTCGCGCAACCCTCTGCGGGGATCGGCGTGGTCGAGGTGCAAAAACCGAGGTTTTTTGCGATTTCTGCCTGCTCGCGCACCCTCTGCGGGGATCGGCGTGGTCGAGGTGCAAAAACTCGAGGTTTTTTGCGATTTCTGCCTGCTCGCGCAACCCTCTGCGGGGATCGGCGTGGTCGAGGTGCAAAAACTCGAGGTTTTTTGCGATTTCTGCGGTGCTCGCGCAACCCTCTGCGGGGATCGGCGTGGTCGAGGTGCAAAAACTCGAGGTTTTTTGCGATTTCTGCGGTGCTCGCGCGACCCTCTGCGGGGATCGGCGTGGTCGAGGTGCAAAAACTCGAGGTTTTTTGCGATTTCTGCTCGCGCGCCCTCTGCGGGGATCGGCGTGGTCGAGGTGCAAAAACTCGAGGTTTTTTGCGATTTCTGCGGTGCTCGCGCAACCCTCTGCGGGAATCGGCGTGGTCGAGGTGCAAAAACTCGAGGTTTTTTGCGACTTTTGTTGTTCGAACTGGTCCTCGGGAGTTGTCTCGTGGTTCGCGCGCCTGCTCCCGGAACCGGCGGGTCGCGGGTTCGATTCCTCCCTGGTCCGCGGGCGGGCGTCGCAAGATGCAACTTGCATTTTAAAGCAACTTGCGCAGAGCAACTTGCGCAGAGCAAGTTGCACAGAGCAACTTGCGCAGACCAACTTGCACCGACCAGTTTGCGCAGAGCGCCTTGCCTAGAGCAACTTGCGCAGAGCAACTTACGCAGAGCAACTTGCACAGAGCAACTTGCACAGAGCAGCTTGCACAGAGCAACTTGCAGGGAGCGCAATTTGCACAGAGCAACTTGCAGGGAGCCACTTGCAGGGACCAACTTGCCGGAGCAACTTGCGCGGAGCAACTTGCGCAGAGCAACTTGCACAGTGCAACTTGCGTAGAGCAACTTGCGCAGACCAACTTGCACCGACCAGTTTGCGCAGAGCACCTTGCCTGGTGCTGTCTCGCGCTTGCTTCACGAATGCTTCGTGTAGGGAAAAAGAACGCATCCTGCAGCATTGGGCCGACCTCGCTTGCGATGTTCTGCTTTCGGGCCAACCGTGGTCTAGTTTTTTTGAGGATGGCGCTCCCTTTGCTTCGCTTGAAGCAGAGAAATTAGCTTCTTTCTCAAACAGGGGAACTATTTTGGGTGGCGCTACATTTTGCTTCATAAAAAAGTAAAAATGAAAATAAAAACCAAACAAGAAACCTAACTCCAAAGAGACACCCAAAGCCACAGCAGTTTCGCCTGGTGAGCGGGCACTGGAACCTCTATATGGCTGCTGAGGAACTGAGTTCGGCTGGGAACCAAAGGAACTGGGGCTGAAGCTCCTTTCCTTTTGTGGGAAAAAGGCAAAAAACAAAGCAAAAACAAATCCGTTACAGAATGAAACTCCAGGTTCCTCGGGAGGAACCTTTGAGGGCCTCAGCGTCCTCTCGTGTGCTTTCTCTTGTCTTGAAGGGCCCCTTGTACTCTGGGCTGAAGCAAAACTCCAAAGCAAATGCTTAAGGGAACTCCACGGAAAAAGCAAAGAAAAGCCAAAAGCAGAAGCCGTTGTCAAGAACAAAAAGAGTGGGATTCCTCACATGTCCCCTTGAAGCATCAACCCAACAAAGGAAACCAGGGAATTAGCATTCTGCTCCAATTTTGAGGGTGCCCATTGATGTTCGTTTGGAGTGGTCGCAAAGGAATGCCAGAAGGAAATCCACCTCTTCTGGGTGTTTCTGCTATTTTGGCACATATACATTTGGCTGCATGGCGCCAACTCAACGCTCCAAGACCTGAAGGACGTGCCAAAGCAAAAGCTAAGTGGAACCGAGGGGAAAACCAAGAGCACGATCCAAGACCTACCTCGGCCAAGCTTTCAACAGCTGCATGCACGCATGAACCTCTGGCATGGCCTGGTCTCACTTGCTGAATATCTTGGCCAAAAAGGAGTCAAAAACCTTTTGCTTTTCACTCAAACGGCTGCGCCAACCCCGAAGAAGTGTCTCAAAGTCAAAGAGTCCCGGAGCTCCTCACCTCGAGAAACTCCCAAACAAAAATCGGCACCCCTCACCTCGCCTCACCGCCTCCGCCTCCGCCTCCGCCTCCGCCTCCGCCTCTGCCTCCGCCTCTGCCTCCGCCCCGAGGGTCTCCGGGGCCCGGGCTCTTCAGCATCCCTGCGGACACCGCGGGCCGGGGGTTCTGCGCCAGCGAGGCGCTGGACTTGGACCTCGATCTCGAGATCGGGGTGGGAACGAATTTCGCCGAGCTGGGGCGAACTCGAGCCGGTCGTGTATATATATATATATATATACAAATATACATACATTTAAATATATATATATATATGTACCTATGTATTCATGTTATGTACCTATGTATGTATATATATATATATAGGTATATATGTAGGTACATACACTATACATAGATATGTACAAAAAGTGGGGTTTGATCAAAAGCTCCGTGATACATGGGATGACCATTGGGGAAACCACAAAGATTTTATGTGTCCCACATGGAAAAAGTTACCCATGGTCATTTGAGGGCCAGGAATATAGACCCCATATAAAAAGACGGGCGCGCTCCAAATGCCCATGGCGAAGGCGTGGCTGCGTGGACGTCCCCCCCTTAAATTTTGGGTCCATGTCTGTAGACCCAAAAATTGGCTTCGGTGCGCGTTTTTTTCAAAGCCAACCCTGAAAAAAGGCCGTCTCAAATGGACTCGACCTTTCTGAAGCCTCAGCTTCCCTACCAAAAGCCCTTGAAAAACCCTTGGCTCCGCGTCTCCGGGGAAGCTTCCGGAAAGCCGTCCGCCGCTTCGATCCCGTCGGACGCGGGACCCGCCGCTTGGATCCCGGGAATATCGGGGGCCCAGGCGTCCCAAGGGTATGGCCTGGGCCGAAGCGGCGAAGCTTTCTGCGTGGGCACCGAAGATTCGAGGGCGATCCCATTTGGCCCTGGGGAACCTATGGCGATCCCATTTCGGGGTGGATGAACATCCATCTGCCACCTATTTTGATGTTCACCATCGGTACGTTTTGACCCGCACCCATTTAAAGAAAAACATAAGAATCTCTCGAGGGTAGGTACAGGTTGGTGGGTTTGGAGCATTCAGAGTATTTAGAGTTCAGGTTCGTTTTCGGATTGCTGGTTTAGGGTTGATCACCTTGCGGACCACCTGCGGGCAGCCTTTTTCGGGGGGGCATGCCTTTCTTTTCTTTCTTTCGTTGGTGAGTTCCAGGGGAAACAAACCTTCTCCCGATAGGTTGATCAATTTACTGACCGTTTCCATTGCAAAACTTCCCCCACTTTTGGAGGTTCCAAAGGATGGAGGACACCTTGCGATTGGAGCCCTCTGCAAGAACCAGAACCGCTCCTCCCCCCCAAAAAAAAAGAACACCATGCCATTTCGGGGTCCCAACCTGATCCGGATTTGTTTTGATATCACAGTTGATAACACACACACACACACACACACACACACGCGGGCAACACACTCACACACACACACCGAATCAAAAACCGAATACTAAAAACAAGGGCTTACAATGTCTTACAACACATATTCACACACAAGGGTGAAACACATCCAGGGTTGCCATGTGCAGAGCCGCCGTATGTTCCAGCCAATCCTTGAAGCTGAACCATCGATAAGTGATGAAGGACCTTGGTCTTGAGGGGCACTACAAAGATGATGAGTACGCAAGAAATTGGTGCGTGCTATCTGTAATACTGGGCTGATCCCCCGCCAAAAGTCTAACGTTTGGGCTAAATGGAAATCCCCACCAAACACTAAAAAGCTAAAAAGCTAGGGGCATAGCTAGGAACCACCAAGCATGCTCATCCCTGAGCGAGTTGGAATGACGCCCAAATTTGCCATGCCCATGGCTAGAAGTTGGAAACGGCTTCAACCCCAAAATGGGTCGCCTCAAAGAAGAAAGGAACATGAGCACGAAAATGTCCACCAGTCCCCGGTGCACCTAAAACCCTGTTCTCTTCTTTTGATGCTCTAAGAACAGAGTTGCATGCCTCGGACATGGAAATGCAAGGTGATCACCTTTTTGGAGATTCGCTTTGGTGAGAAAAGTTGAATGTTCACCCCATAGGAATCAACCCCAGTTTATTCATAGGGGGTGCTTCTGCCTAGGTCAAATGTGAGCAAAAAAGACACTGTTGGAGGGGCCCCGACCCCCCCCCCCCCCACCCCCCCTACTAATAAACTGGGGTTGATTTTGCCATGGTTATGAGTCTCCGTTCAGTGGGATATAAACTCACCAGGCTTACGATCACCACTTCCCTCACGTACCCGATCGCATGGATCGCCCCATTTTGTAGGAACACCAACAGTACATGTGGTATGCCCCAATTGGTGTTTTCCCTTCTTTTTTTTAATGCAATGAAAAACAACAAATGGGTTTTTTTTGTGTTGTTTATTTTTTGTTTTAAAAAAAAAAAGGAATGAACCTCTATTTTCGGGTAGAGGGTAAATGGGGGAGAAAAAACATTTCGCCGGCCCCAAACCACTGGGCGGCTCCAAGCCACCAAGTTGTTGAAGGATGGGGTTGACCCTTCCACCACACCGATTCGGCTAAGCAATCACAAAAGAACCAACACCCCAAGTAAGGACACCAACACCCCAATTGGTGTCTTGGATTTGAAACCTCTATTTTCTTGTAGATTAGAAGTTAAACCCCAGTTTCCGGTTTTTGTCTTGGTTTAAAACCCGAGTTAATGGGAAACCAACACCTTCACCAATCCAGAACCTCCATCCAAATGGGCTCCCCTGGACAGACCCGCCCATTTCCAGTGGACTCATTCCGCCCGTGTGTTCGTCTTTTTTTTTTTTTTACGAGGAAGGGTTCCCTGTAAATTCAAGAATCCAAGCCAGCAATGAGAAACCCAAGGGAAAACTGCTGGTTCTTGAAAAGAACGATGGTTGACAAGAATGGCTAGAATCAACCCCTAGATATGAATGGGAACTCCAAGCCACCAATGAGATTTCGGGCTTCCCTCCCGGAGATTTCTCTGGGCTCCGCGGCTCTGGTGCAGCCCGTGGCCCCTTGCGCCCAGCTGCACCTCGATCGCTCGATCGATGGGGCGCGCGGGGGGTTCGACGAAAGCACCGGGAAAATCCGGGCGATGGCTTGGAAAAACGTGCAAAACCGAGAAGGAACCTGGATTTTGGATTGGACCGTGAGTAGAAATCAGTTGGCATAGCCAACCAGCTGTTCTTGATTGCTTGTTTGCTCGTTCTTCCTTGTTCTTACTCGTTCTTGCTCGTTCTTGCTTGTTCTTGCTTGTTCTTGCTTGTTCTTGCTTGTTCTTGCTTGTTCTTGCTTGTTCTTGCTTGTTCTTGCTTGTTCTTGCTTGTTCTTGCTTGTTCTTGCTTGTGCTTGCTTGTTCTTGATGCTTATTCTTGCTTGTTCTTGCTTGTTCTTGCTTGTTCTTGCTTGTTCTTGCTTGTTCTTGCTTGTTCTTGCTTGTTCTTGCTCGTTCTTGCTTGTTCTTGCTTGTTCTTGCTTGTTCTTGCTTGTTCTTGCTTGTTCTTGCTTGTTCTTGCTTGTTCTTGCTTGTTCTTGCTTGTTCTTGCTTGTTCTTGCTTGTTCTTGATGCTTGTGCTTGCTTGTTCTTGCTTGTTCTTGCTTGTTCTTGCTTGTTCTTGCTTGTTCTTGCTTGTTCTTGCTTGTGCTTGCTTGTTCGTGCTTGTTCTTGCTTTTTTGTTTGGCTTGATTAAATTCTAGACGGGTGCGGGCACAATAGTATGAAGGTGTGCTTTCGTCAAGAGCCGCGCATTCGTTGTGTGTAGCATAAAACATACTTCATACACCTCACTTGGCCATGAATATTGTTGAATTTTCCACCAACTTCAGTCACGTCATGCAACAAAAATGAACTTGTGGGTCAAGGCACCCAAAAAAAACTCATGCTTGCCTCTGAAAGGCGTTTTGTTGGTCTGCTTGATTGAGTTGTGCTTCTTCATTCCCAAGCATTTCACGTGCGGCCCCTGTTTCAACGCCCGCGCTTGGCACAGTCGCAATGCTGAGAATCTGCAAAGAAAGCATCAGTGCCATGGCACGTTCATTGCTGTCCCTCTGCCTCCCCTGATCAAAGTATTGGCCATCAGAAGCCCCCTTTGTTTCCGCGATTCCCGTCTTACCGGGAATCATTGCAACATGACACCCCCAGACTGGAGCTTCCTATGCCGTCCCTAGCCCCCGCAAAAAGCAAGTCAGCTTGTCCGCACCGCGCAGACGAGATGAGACAAACACCGAGCCAACCTCGGTCAGTTGCTTTCACGTTCGTGTCCCTGTGAGATGAACCAAAGGCGCCCTAGTTTTGACTCAAACCAACCAACCAACCAAGAAACAAGCACACAACAATCAAACGAACAAACAAACAATCAAACAAAAAACACCTTCCAACAAAAACAAGGCAAAACAGAAACAACCAATCAAAAGACAAACAGTAAAACAAAACAAAAATTGATCAATCAAACAAACAAACAATCAATCAATCAAATCAAGCAAATCAATTAAATCAATAACTAAATAAATAAATCAATCAATCCATCCATCCATCCATCCAAGCAAGCAAGCAAGCAAGCAATCAATCAATCAATCAAATCAATCGATCAAAGAAATGCAATCAATCAAATCAATTCAAATTAAATCAAATCAAATCAAATCAATCAAATCAATCAATCAATTCAAATCAAATCAAATCAAATCAAATCAACCAATCAATCAATCAATTCAATCAAAACAAGCAAAAACAAAACAAAACAAAACAAAGAAAAATACTGGAGCAAGGCAAAAAAAAAAGAACACGCGGGTCCAGGGCACAAGTCGGTCCATGAGGCTGAAGTGGTTGTTCGCCTCTGCGTGTGCCATGGCCTCGGGTGGCTTGAGGCAGGCAAGTCTGAAGACGTGGAGTCCTTGTGGTAGCTCAACCTATCTTTATCCCACAAAGCAACACAATGCCTCTGTTGTTGCTATATTTTTCGGGGGGGTCTGTCAAAGACACACCCGTATGGCTTAGCTCTTTTGAGAAGAGCCATCCTCTTTTGGGTCAGGTACCCCTTAGTTGGTTTGAAGCCTGGTGAGTTGGATTCGGATTTGAACCTCGCTTCTAAAGCCTGGGTCAAGTCACATTTCGTGAAAGTACCCCCCTTCACATTCAAACCAAACCAAATCACCAAGGTGAAAATTGGTGGTTTGGAGCGCGGTGATGTGGTGAGGGAGGGGTTTCCCATCTACCCTCTACAAGGACAGGGGCTCAAATTTTCAAACCAGCAATCCAACCCACCAAAGGGGGACCTGCAAAAGACGAAGCCACAAGGTTGTGTCCTATTCTAGGGACTCTCCAAAAAAAAAGCGTGTTTTGCTTTTGAGATGAACAAAAGTTGATCTAGCACAAGGGGTTTCCTCTTAAAGCTTTAAGATCTACGCCATCTTGCAAAAAAGCCAGTTGGAAACCCGACGGGTTTAAATTCAACCATGGTTTGTGGTTGGTTTACTTACCCGGGCTGTCCTCAGATCTGCTAAAAGTTTAACTTTTAGTGGGTTAAATGGAGATCCAACCACTAAACGCTAAAAAGGCTAGAAAAAGCCAAGGAACCGGATGGCTGGGAACCACCAAGTTGCAAACGGGGCATCCACCGTATCTTGACAAGAAGGGGTGAGTCTTTGTTGGGGGGACCCCCAAAACAGCGGTGTTGCTTGGTCCCACTTTGAGACCCAACCAAAAGGGGGTCCCCTAAACAGACACCCCCATATGAGGGAGTGTATCAAATTGCAGACAGGAGAAGCGAACCTCCAAGAAGCTTCCTGCTACTCTGTCCTGGTATCCAATGAGGCGAGGTACTCCGCACAAACTCCAACACCAAGATGCCCTCAAACCCCAAAAACCGTGTTTTCAGACAAAGGTCCGAGATTGAAGCTCAAAGTGCAAGACTCAACGCCGGCAAAACCTTCTTGCTTTTCTTTGTTGGAAGAAGGGTGCCGCACTCAAAACCAACAGGGAAGAAGAACCCAGAGCGGTCCCCGTGACAAACTCTCCTTTCCGTTCACGTGTCCGAAGCGCTCCGAGGCTCGCGCCGTGTACTCGCGGTCATCCTCGCGAGGCTAGACATGGGCAACGACAACAAAAAACGTGGGTCCCCTGCCGGAAGGAACAGGAGGCCGAAATGGCTGTGGCTCAAAAAAGCGGTACCGAAATGGCACCTTGGTAAGCGGAAACATGGACCAAAACCTGTGTAACCCCTCCTGTTTAATTTTGAGCCACACCCAAATGGACATGCACCTCTTTTTTTTCAGGGGGCCAGTGCACTACCCGACATGGTTCTCGCATCATTGCCTGAGCGAGCGTGCCCCCCATTCTAACTACCCAAGGGAGCCACAATCAAAACCCGGTACAAAAATGGTCGACCCAGAACTATGTAAAGAACCAAGAAGGCGGCCGCAGCTACTTATGGCTGGGATCGTCCCTTACTAACCGGATCAACTACCCGAATCGGTTTTGAGCAAGTGGCTCCAGGGCCCTGAAATACTGCTCAGTTGCCCAAAGGACCCAGAAATAAAAGGTTCACCTTTTGGGACCTTTACCAAAAATGGACCAAACATGGGGTTTCCCAAAAGGTCCAAAGGTCGATTCGCTTTGGGCAAGTGAGACTCGCCTTCCTCCCACCAAACCTGACAGCCCCTTTCCAAACAGGGAACGCTCCTGGACGTTCCCGGAATGAAAACGTCGACCTGTAGGGTTGCCCCATAGCGGAACTTCCGGAAAACTCCCCCTTCAAACATCACCGGGGGGAACTCACACATGGCCCAGGTGGGCGTTTTTTAAGGCCAGTGAGAAAAAAATGTCATACATGTGGTCCGTCCTTGGCATTCATGTCTGCGCCCACCTCCAACAGCAGCATGGTGGCCTGGCAGGGGGATGTTGCCAAGATCCGGATCCCCTTGGTTGGAGGGGACCCCTCTTTGCAGTCGCTGAATCGCCCCTATCAAATTGCCACTGGCATTGAAGCCCACTTTTGATCCCCTCCCAAAGTAGCACATCAGGAGTCACTGGATTTCATCCCAAGTGGCGACGTACTGGTGGTTTCTATTGAAACGATCGCCACCTCTTTGCTCCCCACGCAAACCAAAAAAAAAAGGGGGAGGAAAAAGAAAAAAAGAAGAAGAAAAACGCCGTTCTTGTGTGCTTTTTTGCTTCCCCCCCGCTTCTCGGAGGTCCCATTGTGGCCCGTTCTTTGCAAAGGTCCGAGCGTCCGGGACGCTTCGGCGCGCCCCGCAACACCCCGCCGGGGTGTGGCCGCCCGCCGCCGAGAGGTGGATGGGCGTGCGCTGGCGGTGGTCGCAAATGTTGACCTCGGCCGGAGGACCGGAATCCGGCAATGAACGCCCCCTATTCATCAACCAACCAGGTTGTTAACAGGGGCATGTTCCCCTGAAAAAGTGAACAACCCCCACTAAAACCAGGGACACCCCCATATTAATAAACAGGGGTTTATTTATAGGGGGTGTTCATTACACCTCCGATGCCCGACGAACGTCCACGGGGAAAAACGAGGCATCCTTTTTGGCTTGTTAAATTTACAGGGAACCCTTCCTTGAACAAAATAAGCGAACAAAGGGCGGAATCCACTGGAAATGGGTGGGCCTGTCCAGAGGGGGAACCCATTTTGATGGAAACCTAGATTGGTTCATGTGTTGGTTTCCCCATGTACAATCTACAAGAAAATAGAGGTTCAAATCCCCAAACCACCAATTGGGGGATACCAGATTTACTGTTGGTTTCGCTACTTGAAGAGGCGATCAATTCGGTGCGTCAGGACAGTTCATTCCCTCATTACTTACTGAGCACCAGCAAGGTATTTGGGTCTGTCTTCCTCTTAAACTTTGCTCCTACGGAGGGTCATTTTGAATGGGCGGGCCGGGTGGGGGGGGGGGGGGGGAAGGGAGAGGTTAGCAGACATCTGAGGCATTGGAGGTCAGGGAAGTACGCCCTTTATTATGTCCACTGATTTTCTCCTCCGTATCATTATTCAACACCTTTAAATGGGTGTGTCTTTATTAGGGTACCTTTCTCTGGTGGTTTTAGAGATGGAAACCCAAAGGAAGACCGGTTGCGGTCTTCAAGAGAGAAGATGAGAGAAGCAGTCACCACGTCCTCCAGGTGCCTGGGCAGGATCTTCCAAAAATTGCCCAAGAGGTGATGTGAACGGGGATCTTCAAAAGATACATCAAAAAAACACCGGATTCACGGGAGGATCCTCTTCATCAGCAAAAAACAAACTAATGTAGGATCCTCTTCATCAGCTGGTAAAGATCAGTTTTCACCTCATGTTTGTATCCTTCAAGGCCCAGCTGAGAAGCCCGGCATCTGCGCCCCACTCCAGTAGCCGGCAGATCGCGTCCACGTCATTGTTCTGGGCCGCCACATGCAGCGCGGTCCTGAATGAACGTTGCTCCAAATGGCAGTGGGTGAAAAATATGTACCCAAAATCGGAACCCTGTCAAAAGGAAACATGGACTAAACTTGAGGAGCGGGTGAACGAAAGCTAGCAGTTGTTGCATGAGATGGGGCGGTGACAGAGTGGATTCATGGGTAGCTTGTGTACAACGAGAGGCCCGGCAAGATTCGTAGGATGCGACACGCAAACGCACATGGTGGCGCGGCAAACCTTCAAAAATGAAAACAACGAGAGGCGTCAGAAGCTGTCTTAAAGCACCTCTGGGTTCTGCATGCTGCGTGTGCAAAGATTCTTGCGAGGTGGTTTACTGAGAAGACTGAGGTCTCAAATGAACAAGCTGAATCGGTGGAACATGTAAAAGTTCGTAGCACCAAGTCCAAAACGGGCAAACCGAGACTGCTGAACACTGAGCCACTGCCCGGGGGGGGGGGATGGACCAGGGAGGAATCGAGCCTGAGACCCGGGGGGGGGGGGGAGGGGGGGGGGGGTCTAAATAATTGATGTTTTTCAATCTTTTCGGCTCAAATAATTGAAAAAATCAATTTCGGCATTTGAGCCCCTTACCTTGCTTACGCAAGGAGAAACTTCAGCTAGCTAAAGCTAGCTTTCGTGACCTGTGGTCCCATGGTGGTTCAATTTTGACCCACAGCCAGATGCTGCGAAGGATGACATGGGTGTGGGTTAAAAGGAAAAAAACAAATCCCGGCTTTCCTGTTGGCTTCCCTTCAAACGAACGTGAAATTGGCGCCCTCGAAAACAGCACACTGGGGGGGTTCTCAAAGTCGTGGTCCCTAAAAATGCTGGGTGTCTCCTTTTGGTGTCCCTTTACACCCTTTACACAGCAACTGATCGGGGGGGTCCACTATTTTGAGAAACACCGATTCGTACGTGAGGGAAAACCAAAGCAAACCAAAACCAATCTTCCCTTGCCCGAACGGCAAGGTTTTTGGCCCCTGAAGTCATCTAGCCTTCTGAATCGAATCCTCTTTCAAGGCCGATGTGTTGCTGTCACCTCGAGAAAGCAAGAGGTCAAGAGGCTCCGAGATGCATTCGTATGCCCGAAAAGGAACCGCAATGAAATCAACATTCCAAGAGGCTTGGAATTTAAGCCCCATGCGTAGAAAGAGAGCAAGAACTTGCTGCGCTCAGGATCTTGTGCAGGGCGCCTGAAATTCCCTTGAGGCCGTGACAGTTCCCAAACATCCAACCCGATTTTGTTCACCAAATGGGATCGCCCCGAGAAATTGAAATTTCACTCTTGCGGGAATGCCTTCCGTCCGAGTCAGCGCTGTTGATCTTCACACCGTAGATGTGCAGGAACCTCGGCCCGACGACCAAACTGGGCTGTCCACACTGATCCCCTGCCAAAAGCGTTTAAAGCATCAGGGTGGACGCCTCCATGTTAAAAGTCCCGCCAAAGAGGGAAAACACAACAACCAAATGGACCCCCTTGGGTGCAGAATACCCCCAGCAGGCCAGCATCACACAAAAAACTGCAAACTACAAACAACGAACAACCAAGCACGACAAGAATTGAAAATGCCAACAAGCAACAAACCGCAAAACAACCAGCAACAAACCGCAAAGAAAACCAGCAACAAACAGCAAACAAGCAATCCACCGTCTTTCTTCTTCTTCTTCTTCTGCAAAACAACCAGCAACAAACCGCAAAGAAAACCAGCAACAAACAGCAAACAAGCAATCCACCGTCTTTCTTCTTCTTCTTCTTCTTCTTCTTCTTCTTCTTCTTCTTCTTCTTCTTCTTCTTCTTCTTCTTCTTCTTTTTCTTCCTCTTCTTCTTTCTGTTTTTTTTTGGGGGGATCATCATCCACCGCCTCTTTCCTGTTTGTATTATTCTTGTTTCTTTTTGCGTGGGGGGTGTTTTCCGTGTGGTCCAGGGCCTCGGCTCCATCATGTCGTAGCGCTTGTTCCTGGTGCAAATGTTGAAGGCCTCGGCTCGGCGCTCCGCGAGCTGTCAGCGAGCGAGCGGCTCGCGCGCGAGGCCCGAAAGGCGCGCTGAGGGGTTTCGGGCTGCCGGCAACCCACAGCGTCTCCCTTGGTGGGTTTTGGGGAGATGGACCAAAAAAACAACGGGGTGAAACCCGTTTTGTGGTTTGTTTGTTTTTGTGGGGGGGGGGGAACCTCAAAAAAGACGAGCCACCCAATTGGATGCGTCTTGGTTGGGGGGGGGGACCCCCCAAAACGTTGGTTGTCCTTCTCGTTTCCCTGTTCGACCACCGACACTCAAAAGTAGTTTCGAGAACGGGTCCCTCACTTTTTGGCTCGTCAGTGTAGGAGACACCTACTGTGGATGGACGAAATGCACCACTTTGAAACCATGGGAAACCATAACGTTTGTTGGTATTTGCAGGGGAGTCACCATTTCAGGGCTTCTTGTGTGGTGCGAAATGGATTCCGTCCATCCACAGGTCAAAAAAAAGAACGCCCACACCTTTCACGGAACATCTCGTCCGGGCTCCCGAGCGGTCTCCCCCTTCGCCGTCTTGCCCATGAGCCGTGCGCCCCTGCGGTAGCACAGCTTCGCCAGGCCTCGCCAAAACCGGGCTCGGCATTTACCGGGAGCCCGGGGATAGACTGGCAGTGATTCATACTTCACGGGTACGTCAGGTAAGTGGTGAGGGTGATACCCTGGCGAGATACCCCACTGAACGGAGACTTAGAACCATGGCTTTTGTGGGTTATAACCAGGCTTACTAACCACTTGCTACGTACAATGCTCTCGAAAGTAATGTTGTCATGTGAGCTGCTCACTTTCCCAAAGGGCCCAAACCAAAAGGCGTGGAGGCCCACTAAAAATAGGCCAAAAAGGGAAAACCGAAAGGTCAAAAGGTCGATCCGCTTTGAACAACCGAGGCAATCCTTCGCCTTTTTTGCCAGGCAGACCACACCTTCATTCATCCACACTCGAAAAAGCTGCGGGGAAAACTCCTCTCATTTTCCGCTGGGCCGAGAAAAACAAACAAAAAACATCGCCCTCCGTCCACCCGTTCAGCAGAGGAGAAAAAAAAAAAAAACTCCAACCCCCCTCCCCCCTCCCGCCTTCCGTCCGGCGGAACGACAGAACGACGGAACGACCCGCGGCGCGAGTGGCAAAAAAAAAAGAAAAAAGAACTCGTCGTGCAGCCGGGCGCCAGGCCCAGGTTCCCGCTGTTGCACGCGAACCTCGGGTCCAGCGCGCGGTCTCCACTCGCGCGGACCGCGCGCGCGGGCGCGCGGGCCTTGCTGCTTGCTGGCGCGTTTGAAGCCCGTTTTGTTTGGAAGAACTAACTCCTGGAGCTTGTTGTTGTTTGAAGTTTTGGCATTTGAGAACCCTTTGGTGTTGGGGTGGACCCAAATGCCTGAGGGTGAAATTATACATGGCGTGCAAAAAACAACCACGGCAAGGAACACGTGTCACGCCACTGGAATGTGTGTTGCTTCTTCCTGGGTACTGTTTGCCATGCTCGAGCGATTTGATTCCGACTGATCACTGCTGCGGCCCCCCAGCAGGACAAGCGTCCCTTTGCTTAAGCCACAAATGGGAAAATGGGAAAATATGTCCAGGAGTGAAATCGATTCCAACCTTTAAAACCAACAGGGGAGATATGTCTTGAAACAAAAAAACTGGAGAAAAAAAAGAAGAAAAATAAGAAGCAAAAAAGTTCAGCAAACGGAAGATACAACCAGCTGCTCCAAAAGACGGAAAAAAGACCAGCCGCTTGCCATGCTCCAAGCCCCCCCCCCCCCCCGCCCTCGAGGTAGTCGTCAGGCTGTATGTGGGTGGCTCGTTTTCTGTTTTGGGTTGTCCTTTTTGGCTGGTTGCTTTAAGGGAAGCCAAAAGTAAAACCTCCATTTTCATTTTTTTGGGGGGAGGTCGCACAAAAATATGACACACCCATGTGTGAAACATGATTCAAAATCAACGACTTAACCTCCACGGTCCAAATGACCCACGGCCCGTATTCCTGCTCCCCCCCAAAAAAAAACGAAGCACCGAGCCCGGACTTCAAAACAGATGCACGGTTTCTCGACTTAGGGTTTTGAAGGGAAACCCAAAGAAAACCATCTGGAGGAATTGGTCCCCAATTTCGATAAATCAACAATCTTATTCAGCTGGAGTCAGCGGGTGATGAATTATTCGAAACCCATCAGTGTGACTTCGAAACCACCCTTCAAAGAAGATTCCCAAACAACATAGTCCCCAAAAAATAGGACAAACAACTCTTCCAAAGGGTCACGTGGTACCTCGGAATATTATTTTTGTTAAGGCGCTGTCTGGTGCTTGGATGTGTGGCCCCCTGATCCACCAAGGTCCGAGCCCGAGTCTGAGCCAAGCGAAGCAAACTGGGGATGCGCGCTCCAGCAACGTCATATTGGTCTCCACCTCGAGTGGACCAAACACGCGTTTTTTCTTCACCTGGGAAGGAACTATCATGGGTCCCTTCCCCTAAGGGAAACCAGCCCAAGCGCGCTCAAAGAAACCGTGCTGCAAAACAGAAAGAATCTATCAATCAGTAACCAGACTCCCAAGGACATTCCACAGGAAAACAGCTTATTTGCGTTTTTTGGGGCCAATTCCTGTTCTCGGTTGCTTTCTGCTCCCCTGCTAAAAGTTTAACTTTGGTTTGATGGAAAACCATTAGTTGGTGAATTTTCACACTCGTACGCCCAAAATGCAGGCTTTTGGGCTCCGCCGTGCCCAGCCTGTTTTATGCTTTGGGTTACCAATGGCGGTGCCGCACATGCTGGGTGCAGGATTCCCCTCGCGCAACAACATCATGCCAGTGCCCGTGCGCATAATGAGCCCAGTGCATGAGTGGAGCCGAGATGCCCTGCAACAGCATTTGGTCAACCTGCATGTCCCAGAGCCGCACAGAGAGTTGATGAAGGAGTTGATGACGGTGAAAAATGTCACCGGCAGCATCCTACAGACAATGGAGCGCTTTGCACCTCAAGAACTGGAGGAGATGTGGGGAATTACCCGCTGGGATGCTGTCATGATTCTGGACGGTGGCGAGAATCATGCAACAGGACCGGGCACAGGATGCAGCTGCACCATCGACCGTTATACAGACCAGATTGCATAAACGCCTGCGGCCGTTGACTGCCGAAGACGCCCAACAGCTTGCGGCAGCCGCAGCACCGGTGCAAGTTCCCGAAGCCTCCATGCAGAAAGTTAAAGTCCTAACATCCAAGCAACATGCAACAAAGTATAGATGTTCCTGCAACGAACACCAGCAGCTTCCGGGGCGCCGGGCGTCGGTGGCGTTGATGTCCGTGGTCTCCAACAAGCGCTCCAACATGTTCATGAGCACCGTGCCTGTCCTGCCGCGCTTCGGTTCCCTTTTGGCGTCCGCCAAAAGAAATGAGGGAAGAAAGGAGGCAAAAAAGGCTTGCAAAAAACTTAAACAGGGAAACAACAAACTGAACCGAAAACCAACAGGGAGTTCGCCACGAGTCGAGTTTTGTTGGGTCCGTCTTGCAAAAAAAGGCTGCTAGTTGGTATTCTACCGGCTACCAGTGAACCTGGCAGAAAATATCTTGGTCGCTCCAGCGCTTTGAATGGTTTGCCGATCCGTGAGTTCAGCGAACTGCAAAAGTAAGGCTCTCAGTCCGAAAAAACTATCAGACCTGCCGATCAACGGAGGTCTACTAAAAAACCAAAGCAGGGGAGAGAAAACAAAAACATGGCCAGCCGGTACACCAGGGTAAATGTGGATGGCAGGCACGTTGTTGTTTGAGGCAAGCAAAGGGCATCACCAAACCAAGCACCATCTACTTTCGCCCAACTGGCTGTGTCTTGGTTTGGGGGCCCCTTTTCGTGGCCTTAAAGAAAACACCAAGATTCAAAACACGACATGTGGGGGGAGTCCCAAACACAAACAGACACCCAACTGCACACTCCCTTGCGCCGGCCAAGGCAGTCTTGCCCAAATCCAAAATCCGGTTGGCCGTCTAAACCGACTCGGAGATCCTCGTCACGATCTGCTTCAGGTTGAAGGTTGTTGCCTTCTCCTGAGGACACGTCGGTCGAGCGTTTTGCTCGAGAAGAAAAAAAATCCGACAGCGCCCATGAAAGTCCAGCGGCGAAGCATGGGTGTTGATCAGTATTCCTGATCCTTTTGTCTCCAATTGTGTTTCTTCGAGGGGCCAAAGTATTGGGCAGTGCGATTCGGAAGTTTGACCGGCAAACTTACCCTTACGCTTGGGCAAAGCGGGCGGATTCGAACATCTCAAGGAGTCCGAACGTCACTGGAATGTTCCAAAGCCACGATCTGAGGAACCTATGGGGACCATTAGGATTAACGTCGCTCCTCTTAGATAAGAAGCCTACACTCCTAGGCAATTTTGCCCAAGCCACCACCCCACAAACAAACAGTGCACAGACCCTTTTGGAAGACTACTTGCCTACTCTCCTTTTGGGCTTCCTTGTTTGTTGGCGGGAAGGCAGTCGAAGACCTTCTACAAGAACTAGGGGTTCACATCCCTAACCATCATTCCAAACCACCTATTCAGGGTTTGTTTGAGAAAAGGAAACAATTCTCCTTCAACATTTAAAAGACAAGAAATATGTAAAGGACTAGGAATTCATATGAGATAGAAAAAGAAGACACTAACATCTATCATTAAGAAAGAGATATGAGAAGAAACAAGATGTTGAATCCTGTCAAATATGTTTCTCCGTGATCATTTTTGTATTTTAATTTTCTTTTTCATTTAAGGCAGGGACCGTCTCGCCTTCCGCGGCCTCTTCTTGGAAAGAAAACCCCCCGGCGCCTTCACCGGCTCGAAGGCCGTCTTGAGGTCCGCGAAGGGGTCCGAGACCTGGCGACCGGGGTCCGAGAGCGGAGCTGCGAAGAAGTTTTTTTTTTGGGGGGGGAGCCCAGAAATTGGCAGGGGTCCCAACCTCCCAGCCAGGGCCAAGAAAGAAAAATCAGGAAGGAGAAACACAGAAAAGGCCTAAAGAACAAAAAGCTCGGTCCTACAAAGACCTCCAAACACAAACTTTGTGGCTTTGGTTGCAGCCTCAAGTTCCAAGCGTCGCCTCAAGTCCAGGCGTCTCGCGTGCGTAAGATGGGTTTGTCTCAAAGGGAGTTGGACCCAAGGGGCTTCAGCGTCTTCTTGGCTTCCCTTTAAAGCCAAGGCAAAACTTGCTGGTGCTCACTCAGATGCCCTGTGGCGAGGGGGAAAAAAGGGCATCGTTTCTTTGGTTGGTTGAGTTTGAAGGGAACCCTTACCCAATCAAAAGGGAAAACGGGTCATTGACCATGTTGGTTTTGTCTTTTGAGGCGCCAGCAAAGTGATCTCAAGCCTACCAAGTCTGCCTGCGGTACAACTTACAGTCGTGAACACCGCAATGCCATCTGCTGAGGGAGTGACCCCTATAAAATCCATCCAACTGGTGGTTTCCTTTTGTGGGGAAGCCCAGGGTTCATTCCATTTCTCATTCCATGCCTATCGCACCAGCAAGAAAACCGGGTACCCTCAAAAACGACAAAAACGACCCCGTCGGGCCTTCACCTCCGGCTCCGGGGAAGTCTTCGAAGGCTTCCTGAGTGAGCAGGTGTTCTTTGCGAAAACTCCGCATCTCTTTTCGGGGGGCATTCTTTTCGGGGGTGTTCTTTGTGCAGATCTCGGCGACGTTCTTTCAGCATCGGGCCGTAAACTGCTGCACATCCGAAAAAAACGGGGCAAAGAGGAGGGAGAGAAAAGGGGGAAGAAAAAAAAAGGCCCGGTGGCCGAGCCCCAGTTTGCCCCATCCGCAACAACGTTGAACCTGCCGCTTTCACGGGCCGCCCACTCTTCAAGCCGAGAGATCCATCGGCCATTTTGGGGGTTAGAGGCGACGTTTTTGGGCCAGAAGGACCTTCCTTGAGCCAAAACTTCGTCCATGCGCTGCTTGGGCCCCGGGCGCTCGCTTGGCGCGGCCCTTAAAGGAGGGGGGGGAAAGCGAGCGCGCGCGGAGTTTGTGTCTTGAAACCCGGTGCGTTTCGCTCCCAAGGTCCGGAATGGGTTGTGGCAACAATTGCACGTCCCATCTTTTCTGAGAAGGCCAAGCATGCAGGTTTGTGTTCTTGAAGGTGGGAGCCCCAAAATTGAGGTTATCCTTTCCGTCTCCTTTTAAAACAGACCGAAAAGAGGAGTACCCCCAAACAACGTGAGACCCGTGTGGACGAACAAAGCCATGTTTTGGCGGTACAAGGAAGGAAACAACGGGACTCCTTCGTCGTATCGGGCTCCGCGGGCAAAAATGTTAAGACTGCACACACATATTCCACCGTTTTACGGAGAAAAAAGCACTGAATACCTAGGTCCTCCAGTGGAGAGGTTACAATAAAGGTACCCTGTTTCTGTAGTCTATTTTAGTAGGGGAACCCTCCACCAAAAAGGGCAAAAGGGCACTACCTAGATATTGAAAAACAGAGGGCTTCCAAGCCAGTCCTGTCTTGAATAGTGAAATCCCCCGCAAACTTACTGATCGGTGGTCCACCTGCGGGTTGACTTATGGCCTTGCAGCTGCCTGTGAGTAGGAGCCCTTCCTTTTGGGCATCTGGTGGTTGGAGGGCAGTTCTCAAGTTTCACCCGTCAAAGAACACCGAAGCCCCCAAACCTCAAGTCCCCTTGAAATGCAAAGCAGGGAAAAGGCCCCGATCCCAACAAGCCCAACCATCCCCCCCAAAACATCAACCCGCAAAACCCAACCACCCCCGGGCCCCACCTCCCCACCGCCCCAACCGCCCCACCCTCCCCCCCACCCCACCCCGCCCCACCCCCCACCCCCAAGCCCTGGGCCGGAACAATCAGTGAAGCCGTCGCCGCGGAGGGCGGCTCCTGCACCTCCCTCGACGAGACCTTCCGGCCTGAACCCGAAGCGGAACTCGGCGAATAAATCGAAGTGCCCTCTTGGGCCATAGGCGGCCGTTTGGATAAAAGCTTTGGGCAACCCATCAATCGGAACCCATCGATCTTTAACCAAAGGATGAAAAACAAGACAGAAAAGGGTACCCTCAAAACAAGACAGACTCTCATGAAGCATTCAGATCATAGGCGGCCTGTTTTGAAACATTTCGATGGGGTTTCCCTGGTAAATGGACGGCAGAAATCCCATGAAACCGGGAATCGGAACCCATCTATTTTTAGCCAACCTCACCTAACAAGGACGCGTTTGATTTCATAAGCTTCATGTAGGCCTTGCTGAAATTCAGGTAGAATCACCTTCTAACATGGCCACTGGGAATTTCGGCCTCTCACAAGCGGGCCAATTGCCCAAATGCCTCAAAGCTGGAGCAGCTCGCGGGTCAAACTTGCTACCAAAAAAGCCAACTTTTTGGATGACCAACAAATGGGCGTCTTTCGGTCGAGCCAGAGTCGAAATTGCAACTAGGCCTCCCCAGTAACCGGCATGAGCACTTGCAGAGATGTTTGCACCCCAAACTTCCCTGGGCAAAGGATTGCCGGAGCAACGGCACAACTGTTGAGTCCAAGCACCTCCATGTTCGCGGTGTATGTTTATAAATCTATGTATATTGTTGATGTACATATATATATATATATACACATGTTCTATGTGTATATATATATATATATGTAAATTCTTCTGAAAAAAATATCACCTCCATGTTCGCGGCCGCGGGGTATGTCACATGCCCCACCCTTCAACACTGCCGACCGCGCTTTTCCCGACCGCCGGCCTTCCGGCGGCCTGGCAACCTGCGCGCCGGAGCTTCCGACTCGTTTCAGCTCGACGAATCGGCGGTGTGGTTCAGGAAAGCTCACCTCATGCACCCCCAACAAAAACCCCCCGAATAGTGGCTTGGAGCCAGAGCCCAGTGCTTTGCCGGTGAAATGGAGGGTTAACCCCCATGCACCCTCAAGAACCCACTTGAAGTCCCTACCCTCCCATCCAACATGGAAGTGCACATTGGCCCCTTTCCAAGAGGAAAGCCGCCGGTTTTTTTCTCCAAGGGTCTGCGCACAAACCCATGTTCGTCGCTGGGAGGGCCATTGGTTTCAGCCGAATCGCCCGGTTTGGGTTCCGTAGCCCGAGGCTTGGAGCCAGAAGGAGCCCGGTGGCTTGGGGCCGGTGAAACGGAGGGGTCGGTGTCCCATGAACCCTCTACAAGAACCAGGACTTGAGGAGCGGGCGAACGAAAGCTAGCAGTTGTTGCATGAGATGGGTCGGTGACAGAGTGGATTCATGGGTAGCTTGTGTACAACGAGAGGCCCGGCAAGATTCGTAGGATGCGACACGCAAACGCACATGGTGGCGTGGCAAACCTTGAAAAATGAAAGCAACGAGAGGCGTCAGAAGCTGTCTTAAAGCACCTCTGGGTTCTGCATGCAGCGTGTGCAAAGATTCTTGCGAGGTGGTTTACCGAGAAGACTGAGGTAGCTGAATCGGTGGAACATGTAAAAGTTCGTAGCACCAAGTCCAAAACGGGCAAACCGAGACTGCTGAACACTGAGCCACTGCCCGGGGGGGGGGGATGGACCAGGGAGGAATCGAGCCTGAGACCGGGGGGGGGGAGGGGGGGAGGGTCTAAATAATTGATGTTTTTCAATCTTTTCGGCTCAAATAATTGAAAAAATCAATCTTTCGGCATTTGAGCCCCTTACCTTGCTTACGCAAGGAGAAACTTCAGCTAGCTAAAGCTAGCTTTCGTGACATGGTTCAAATCCAAATCCAAACCAAGCCAAATCACCAAAGGGTGACCTGATCTTTGGAGAGAAAAGTGACGCCAAAACAAGAGAAAATCGGAGAAGGAGACATGCACCGGGCATGTAGCAAAAAGACATGTCTGTTTCATAAAGACCCTTTGGGTTTTGTATTTCCCCCCTGCCGATTTAAGGCGCCAACCCCTGCACAAAACTGAAACTTGATGTAAGGGCCCCCGGCCAATTGCACGATCGCGGGCAGCAGGACCACGTTGGCCGTCACCGGCGTGCTGCTGTCCTCGATTCCCAGATTCTGCGAAGATGTGCCTCTTTGCGGGGAGGGGCCTGAATTGAATCACAAAACGAAAGAGGGAGAGAGAGAAAGAGCGAGCGAGCGAGCAAGAGGTGACATCCAAAATGAGGGATCCGAACTTTGATCAACATGCATGCCCCCAGTTTTCGGACCATGGGTAGCTTCTCAAACCATGTGCTTGACACATCATCCTCTGGTCTCCTCCCGGAAATCTTTTCTCGGCCTCGGAATCCGCTCGGCTTTCGCTTTCCGAGGCCTCTGCTCGGCCCAGGGTCTCATCGGCCTGAGGACATTCATTGGGACCCGAGGGGGGTGGACCTCACTTGGGGCGGTGATCAGAAGATCTGGAAAAAAAAAAAACATGGAAGGACCCATTGGCTGGAAAAACCAACGAGAAAAAGATGCTTTTGATATCTAAAACAGGACAAACGTCAAGAGGGAACTCAAGTCCTTCACTTTTGGGGACCCACCCCGATTCATCCACCAAGTTCCACTTTGTGCGGGCTGGCCTTCCTTTAAGTCGCCCCTGGTGATTCCAAGTGGCCACTTTGGGAAGGTCGCCAGCGAGCATGGGGAAGGGCACCCCTTTCTTTGATACTCGATGTCGAAGGGAAAAACGGTTCCGCCAAAGCAAGGGAAAAGCTGCGGGGCACCAGTTGGAACGATCCGCGTTCCAAAACCAAAAAGAGACCAGGTCCTCCAATCGACCAAAAAAACATACAATTCGCTGTCTGAGATCCCCGCGGCCAGCAAGAGGATCTTCAACAAGGCGTTGTCCATCTTGTGCAGTGTGACCTCCAAGGCGCGACAAGTCCACGGCCCTTCCTTCCCGTGACCCGCCTCGAGATGAAACAAGCCCCGGGGAGAAAACGGGTCGGGAAAGCACTATGGGCTGGTTAACACGCGGAGAGCACCGCGCAGGACTCTTACTCACTTTCGCCCTGAAACAAAGCTCATGCGATGACCACTGGTTGGACAACCACATGGTTGAAAAGCTCTTTGGGGGACGAACGGAACATATATATATATATATATACATATGGTACAGCGTTGCCAGCCCCCCCCCCCCCACCAATGGTCATGGGTCAGACAAGTACCCCCCCCCCCTGTGGTTGTGGTCCTGTGGTTGGGTTGTGGTTAGGGTTGGTTTAGAATTGGTTTAGGGTATATTTAGGGTGTATTTAGGGTTAGTTTAGGGTTGGTTTAGGGTTGGTTTATGTTGATTTAGGGTTGGTTTAGGTTTAGAGGTGTACGGTTTAGGGTTTGGTTTAGGGTGTATTTAGGGTTGGTTTAGGGTTAGTTTAGGGTTGGTTTAGGGTTGGCTTAGGTTTAGGGTTTATTGTTTAGGGATTGGTTTAGGGTGCATTTGGGGTTAGTTTAGGGTTGGTTTAGGGTTAGTTTACGGTTGGTTTATTTTGATTTAGGGTTAGTTTAGGTTTAGAGGTCTACGGTTTAGGGTTTGGTTTAGGGAGTATTTAGGGTTCGTTTAGGGTTAGTTTAGGGTTGGTTTATGGTTGGTTGCGGGTTGGCTTGTCCTGGGGGTGGGGGTGCCGGGGTGTCGGGGTGCGAGGGGTGGGGGTGGGACCGTAGGTGACAGGATCCGGGGGCTCGGGGTCTCGGGCCGGGGGGGGGGGGCCTGGGGGACCCATACCATATGGGGGGGGGGGGTAGCAACACGGAACACGGGACCATATATGCAACGCCCCTAATCACTCCAACCAGAAAGCTGAGACCATAGCTCTGTCCAGGGTCTCAAAGGCGATGGTGTCGCCTGCCGATCGCCTCAAGCAGCGTTGCATTTGAGCGCGTCGTAGCGCCGTCCACGGGGGGCCCAGAGCCATCACTAGGTGTTGGTGTTGCCGAAATGTCGCCAGGGCAATGGGAAAATGGAGAGCTCCGTTTATGGAAGCAAAAGACAAGGCCGCAAATGGAGAACTCCGCTTATGGAAGCAACAAACAAACGGCCCAGCTTCCCTCGGGTTTCCGGTACACCCAAAGCACCCCTCTCCTTCCCGGCCACGAGATCTCGGGTTTTCTGGGGCCTTCGCGTGATGGAAGACCAGTCGCTTTCGTTCTCGTTTTGGGGGTATGGTGGATGCCCCGTTCGCCATATTTCAAGGGAACCAGTTTCAAACCCCAACGTGTAATCCATCACGGCTTGTTGGCTTACTTGCAATATGTCGAACGGGGCATCCACAATTGTGTGTCAGAATATGGGGCTGACCCCATGCTGGCCTTCCTTTTAGCATCCCCTTCACACAGAGCTCTGAATCAAACAATATCCCTAACATCTTGAAACATAAACACTTATCAAGTGGCAGAAAGCGAAAAGGGAAATATGGAAATAAGGCCCTTTGTTTTGAGTTGAAATAAATCCCCTTTTGAGTAGGGAAAACCGGGTCCGCGGACCCGGGGAAGAAAAAAAAGACGATGCCTGGGGCTCAGGGCACCTGTGGGTGCTGCGTGTCCTGCAAAAAGCGCCTCAAGCTCGAGACCCTCCCGTCCCAGCCCCGCCATGCGGAGCATTGAGAAACCGTTTGGGAAAGCAATACCTGGATTCTGGAAAACGGTTTGGAGGTGGCTTTTGTGGTTCCACCCCTGTAGAAGGCTAAAAGAGTAAAAGATTACTAAAAAAGGAGCAACAGGGGGAAGAACAGGTGAAGTCCACAAAAGGCGCATCCAAAACGGTTTCTAGATGGATTCAATTAAGTCGTCTACAAAGGATCTATCATTCCCACAGAGCAAAATTACTATGCCTTTGCCTCCGTGCCTTTGCCTTGCTTTCGCGAATCTCCGCTTCTCGCACCACTTTAAATGAAACCTCGGTTGAAGCCCTAACGCTTCGTGAATTTTTGTTGGGGCAATCCTCAGAAACCCTGGAACATGAAAACTGGAATGCTGGAAGACACTGGAACACTGGAACAGTAGGATACAATTCTATACATTTGAGCTAAATATGTGATTTTCATATAAACTCCAGTAAAGAACGGCCACTTCCAGGAACGGATGCAAAATGTTGCTTTTAAGGATCTACATAGCCAATACTGGACACTGAAACACTGGAACACTGGAACAGGAACACCAGGGTGGCTGGCCGCCGGGGCACGGAGTTCGCAACAATCCACCGGATCGCGGTTTCTCGTAGCTTGGACCAGCGACTTGCTCGGTGCTCGTGGGAATTTCCTTTTTTTTTCCCTACATCCCAAAAAGGGCCAACAACTCCAAACGAGGCACACACCCAGATCTCTGGGTTCCACGTGTCTAAAAAAGAAATCGGCCCAAAACGAGCAAAACCCAAGGGTCATGTTGACCCCACATTAATCAACCCCAGCTAATTAATAGGGGCTGCTTCTCCCTGCGTGTGGAGAATCAGACCACTTTTGGAGTGGAACACCCCGCTATTAACTAATAAACTGGATTTGATTAATATGGGGCCAACATGAAAGGAAACGTAGACAAAAAACAATCTGGGGTCTGGCTCTGAAAATCTTTCAGCCACACCCATGCATGTTAGTCAGTATGAGCAGGCAGACGGTTCCCAAGACCGCAAATCCTTGTTTCAATACGAATACGATCTAATGACGTATAGGGGTGTCTTTTTTGAGGGTACCCATTTCGGATGGTGTTCAAGAAGATTCAAAAACAAACCAAAAACCACCATTCTGAGAGTCCAAGCTGAAAATTACGAACCCATATGTCCACACGTCTTCCATGCAAGAAAGCATAGGACATATAACGTGTGTATATATATATATATAGAGATTCATGTATGCATGTATGCATGTATGCATGTATGCATGTATGCATGTATGCATGCATGCATGTATGTATGTATGTATGCATGTATGAATGCATGCATGCATGCATGCATGCATGCATGTATGTCTGTGTGTATGTATGTATGCATGTATGCATGTATGCATGTATGCATGTATGCATGTATGCATGTATGCATGTATGCATGTATGCATGTATGCATGTATGCATGTACGTATGTACGTATGTATGCATGTACGTATGCATGTATGCATGTACGCATTTATGTATGTATGTCTGTATGTCTGCATGTCTGCATGTCTGTGTATATATATATATATATATATGTGTCTGTGTATTTATTGCATTAAACCTGCTCAGGATTGGTAACAAGAAAATATGCTCACTTTGTTCTATGGGCAAAAGTCGGATGCGAAAGCTGAGGGCGCCGGCCAAAGCGCGCGCATCACGTGGGCAGCCTCGAGGTCGGGTCCATGGAACCCGCCGAACCCGCCGAAAAACGTGCGATCGCTGCAGCTGACTGGCGGGTTCCTTTAAGGGAAACCCCTTCGGGTTCATTCCCAACACCCGGAAGGGTCATTCCCAGGGCACCTTCAAGAAAAACAGATGTCCGAAAGCCAAACCTTTCTGGGTTTCTTGGGGCTTTCCACTCACAGGTTGTTTGGGTTTTCCTTTTGGCTTCCCTTTAGGCCAAACCCACAAAAAAGGGTACCCTCGAAGAAAAAAAAAGCACGCCCACATGAAACTCTCTGGTGAACTCTTTGGACCTACGAAAGGAAAGATTTGATTGCACCTACCACCAGAGTCAAATGTGTCCCAGAGATGCAGCGGAGCCCATAGGCTGCACACACATCCTTCTCAACGTCAGGCCAAATGCAGCCAAAGAGTAGACTTTGTTCTTGGCTGGAATTAGGACCCCAGCAAAAAAAAATATTTTTTGCCTGGTTAGTGGAAAACAAAAAGAACCCAAAAAAAGCAAAAAAGCAAGAAGGGGAGCTAATTCTGGGGAAGTGTTGTAGATGAACGCTGAACCCCACCCGCCATCACGTCTAGAGGGAACTAATTCCCTCTAAGGCGCGACAACCCGCTTCCCTTGTTGGTTAAGCCGCGTGTGATTTTGCGGGGAAGTCAAATCAGAATCCTGAAACCATGGAGAGATTTTCTGCGCTGGTCCCATCATTCCCAGCCTTTGCTTTGACATCAGCTGCTTGAAACCACATCCAAAGCGTTCAGTTCAGGGCTGAATTTGGGCCAAGGGCCCCCTCCAACCACCCACCCACCCACCCACCCACCAGGAAGCATGGCGAGTCGCGACTCGCCGTCGTCACAGAATTGGGAACTGAACATCAGGTGGCTCCAAACAAAGGTTCGAACAAACGCATTGGTGTTGGAATCCAGAAACGTCCAATCTTGGCCTCGTTCAGCCTTCAAGTTCACGTTTTGAGACACAAGCCACCTGGCTTGTTGCCAGAACTCGGCGGAGTCGGGAAAATTGGAAGAAACTTCCCCGTCGGTTGGCTTCCTGTTGGGGAAACCCTTAACCGGCCATTCAGCACCCAAATACGACCCAACCACAACCCCACCCAACCACCACCCCCAACCCTGTCCCCCCCAACCCTGTCCCCCCCAAAACGCCCCAACCCAACCCCCCCCTAAACCCCCCCAGCCCAACCCCCCCCCGCCAGCTCCACCGCCGGAGACTGGCACAGCACTTGCGCCGTAGGCCTCAACCCGTCGAAACACGACCAAAGGCAACACATCACTGGCCTGTGTCTCAGCCCAAAAAAAGGATTCCTGGGTGATTTGACAAGGAATCTTGAGACTACTGGCATCTTGAGACTATTTGCAAGTCGAAAAAAATGTGGAAAACTGGAAATCGAAAGACTACTGGGACATATTGACCATCGCATCGTTTTGTGGCTGATTCCCATCCGACTTCTATGGTCGATTGGTTGGTAGTTTTGGGCACTCCTTTGTGTAGATTGAGACTACAGGCCAAGCGCCTTCTTCTTGGACCACCATGCCCATGATCAAAGTAAGCTGAACAAGCTTAGTATGTAAAGCAAATGCCCTACGTGACAAAAGGGCCCTGTTCACTTCCATGGCAAACAAGGGGCCGGGGTTTCCAACTAAAGGGGCCGGGCTCCATTTGTGGATTACCCGCGACTTACCTCAGTTGATTTCCCCAAACGGAAAGACCTTCTAAGTTTACTATCATGTCCCCAACAAGAACTCCTTCTGGTAGCGCCAGAAGGCCCCCCCTTCAAAGACAAATTTGGATATCCACTGCTCCCTTTTTATATGCCATTTATCTTTGTTGCTGGCGAGACCCCTGCCAAAAGTTATTGACTTTTTGTGGGTTCAGTGGAAAACCCCACTTGATTTCAGCCAAAAGTTAAAAAGTCTAAAGATCCGTAACCCAACAGCAGTCAAGCAAGAAAGCGGCCGCACCCGTTTATGACCGGGATTGCCCCTTGCTATCCTTCACTTAGCCAGGTTTTGATTGCATGTCGCAAAGTGATCCAAAGGGTTACGCGCCCAACGTCCAGAACGAAAACCCCTTGATTTCAACCAAAAAGTTAAAGTCTAAAGATCCGTTACCCCAAAGCAGTCAAGCAGGTGTCCTTTTGGGGCAACTAGATGGCCCTGGTAGATGATGAAACCACCAGGGAAGCCCCTCTGACCGTCTCCCTGTATGTCATTTATGTCATGTATGTCATTTATGTCATTTATGCACCCATTTATGTCATTTATACACCCATTTATGTCATTTATGTACCCATTTTACACACCACTTATGTACCCAACGTCCAGAAAAGGAAAGCCCCTCCCGGTCTCATGGTGTGCCGGGGTTCCCGGGCGCTTCAGACACCTCCCGCAGCTTCGCCACCAGGTCCTGGCGAAGCATTGGGAAGATCTTTGAGGGGTTTTGGGGGGGTTGCTGGTTGGTTTGGGGGGGTTGGGGGGGTTTTGTGGCGTTTTGGGGGGTTTGGAGGAGTTTGGGGGAGTTTGGGGGAGTTTGGGGGGTTTGAGGGAGTTTGGGGGGTTTGGGGGGGTTGGGGGGTTTGGGGGGGTTTGGGGGGGTTTGGGGGGGTTTGGGGGGGTTTGGGGGGTTTGGGGGGGGGGGGGGGGGTTTGGGGGGGGTTGGGGGGGGGTTGGGGGGTTTGGGGGGGTTTGGGAGGTCTTAGGGGTTTGCTCAGATGCCCAGTGGATTTCCATGAAAACCCCTTTTTTGCTTGGTTGATGTTCAAGGAAACCCTTTTGGAGGCTTTGGGGGGTTGGGGAGCCCATGGTATGCTTCGAGACAAACCCATATTCCTCAGAAGCTTGAGGCTTTCTCATCGTTGATCTCCCTGCAGCAGCTTGCGGCGTGGTTCTTGAGGCTCACTACCCCTCTTTTCTGTTTCATAGGGGGCCCAAAGAAAAACCACCCAAATGGGGGTCGGGAGTCCTTAGAGCCCCCGTTTTCGTCTAGCTCCTGGCATCAACATCGACACCTCGGGCATGCCGTTCCGGAGGGCAACCAGAAACGAGACACGGCCTCGGCCACAGTCGCCAGACTTAGATGCTGACTGCATTGGAGGGAACACCTCATGAAATGCCACGTTTAGGGAGGGTCCATAGGGCCTTCTCCGCAAGTTGCGGAGGAGCTGCTTGTTCATCTGTGCTCCAACTGATTCTTTATGAAGCTCGGTTGTTTGAACAACATGCGATTTCATGAAGTTCGGTTGATTGAAAGAAAAAGAAACGAAAAAAAGCACACCTACCTCTAAAAACCAAAGGGACGAGCCACCCACCCGAAGAAAAAGAAAAAACACTTGAGTCGCAATCAAAACCTGGTACAAAAATGGTCTACCCAGAACCATGCTTCAAGAATTAGGAAGGCGGATATCCGCAGCTATTTCTGGCTGGGACTGCCCCTTACTAACCGGATCATCTACCCGAATCGGTTTTGAGCAAGTGGCTCACTTGCTCCCCTCCACGCGCCCTCCTGAGGCGGGGCAGCGGCCAGCGCCACTTGCAGGCCCTCGTTGCCTCGCGATCCGAGGGACCCCCGCGGCGTGGGCGTCTCTGGGTCTCAGAAAATCTCTCCTGGCTTCTTGCCTGTGGTTTCCATTGGGGGGGCTTTTTGTACTTTAGGAACAAAAGAGGTGACTATAAAACATCTAGTGTTTAGTTGGAGTTCACCGGCTTTCAGTTTACATTTTGGCTTTGGATTGAATGAGGCTGGCTTCGGCTCGGGCCTGAAAACGTAAGAAACAAATGTCAACTTGGGGCCAACCCGTGCAGAACATGTCGAACAAAGGAAAGTCTGGAGCCAAACGGCCCAGGAAACGTTGAGACAAATTTAAACAATGTTTTCAAAAATGCAAAACATGTAAAACAAATGCAAAACACATGTAAAATCAATGCAACAAAATCGAGAAACTGCAACAAACGCTGACCAACAGGGCTGTGGGAAATGACCACTTCTGTGATACAACAATAAGGGCTTCCCAAAGACTAACCCACCACATAACGGGGGAGATTCCCTTGTATCACAGAAGTGGGGTAAAACCCCTTGACCCCACAACCCTGCTGACCAAAGAACGCAACGCCTGTCACATCGCCTGTCGTGGGGCCCCCGGGCCGGCCAACAGTTGCGATGGGCTTTAAAAAAGTACCCCCGACGACAAAAAATGATGCAACCTGTGGTTGCTTCCCCCAAAAGCTGCCCTGGACTTCTCATGAGGCACCCCCCTGTTTTGGCGGTGGATCTTTCAAGGAGCCGTATTTCTTCCCTCAGGAAAACCTTTCAGCGACCCTCCTGTTGGCTTGCACGGGAGGATACCGCCGTCCGCGCTCCAAACAGAGACGCGAGCGTCAAAAAACAAAAAAGGCCGGCCTCAGCTCACTGGCCGGAAAAGTGACAGCAACTTGGCAGCCAAAGAGCTTGACGTTTGCCGACTCAGCAGGGCAGCAGAAGTGATCCAGAACTGTGGCTATGCAGTTGAGCTGAGGACTTCTTGGCGAGCTTGGACATGCCCTCCTTTGGGCCAGATGTGAGCAGGTCAAAGAGCAAACATAAACCGGTGCCAGAAGATGCTTGCGACTCCTTTCGGGGACCGTACAAAAGACGGAGCCGAGAGGAGGTGCCAGCCGTGTGAAAGGGTCCCAACAAGCTGCTCACACAGCGCTTGAGACTTAGACTTAGTTCGACACTATGGAAGGCAAGGTCTTTTGGGAAGCCCTGCTGAGGGTTAATTGCCCCACCGATCTTCCCCGGTTCTTGAAAAGAGGGGAGGTGACCTCCAAGCCCGCAGATACCCCCCAAGAAGCGGATACCGCCGGGGTGTCCCCGCCGAAGGCGAGTTGCTGCTCATGCCACGTCTCCGCAGAAGGGAGATGTTGCCTTTTTTTCCATGGGGTTTTCAAGGGAAGGTCAAGGAACCTTTGTATGAAGGGGCATGTACTTCAAACCCCAAACCTCTAGTGGCCATGGAAAAAAGGGCCTCTCTGATCAAAGACAACCCCCTCCCGAAAAGTCAGAACGAACAAACAGAGCCGCACTCCACCCGTCTTTCGCCATTGTTTTCAGTCAGGAGGCTCCGAAAATGCGAGAAGAGAAATCCATCTCTCGAGAGAAAACAACAAATGGAGACGCCTTGGAGGTCCAGCAAGTCCAGCGGCACCAGGCGCTTGGTGGTCTGACGCTCCATGATGGCCGTCATGAAGTACCCGATCTGCGCGAGGAGATCTCTCGCCAGGAGGATCCATCGTTCAACAAACGGTACGGACTTGCAAAAAAAAGGGACTCGTACTCTTGCAGCCCCCTTACTAAAAATGAATAGAACCGGAGAAAAAGAAGAAGAAAAAAAGGCATGTGCAGCCCCCCTACTAAACATGCACAGAACCAAAGAACCTAAAAACAACGAAAAGCATGATCCAACAACAGATCCATGATCCGAACCTCAGAAAGCAGGAACCTGGCTTGGACCTGGACCCTCTATCGGCTCGTACCGTTTCGCCTCGTCTTCTTTGTCCCTGTGCTTTCAATCACCAAGCAACACCCTTCGGGAAAAGTGGCCGTGGCTCAAAAAACCGGAATTCCAAAATGGCTTGCCCGATCGGTAAGTGGAAGCATGGACCAAAACCCGCGGTTTGCCCCTCCGCTCGTTAAATTTTGAGCCACAGCCAAGTGCAAAGGAAAGCTGGTGAAAGCTTTGGCGGGAGCCGCGAAAAGTCGGGCCCCTGCAAGTCGCCTCGGCTTCAAAAACGTGCCAGATGCTTCGGAGGTGTTCTTGTTGCGGTCCATGGTGGTTGGTGCCCCTTTTGGCACATGCCCAAATGCACCTCCGCAAGCTTGCAGCCAAAATCAATCATTGCCAGGCTTCTTCGCTGCCTAACGAAGAAAGGTGTCAAAGCAAAGCTCCTCCTGCTCGTACAAGTCCCGCAAAAAAAAAAAAGGCGGGGGCTTCAGCTTCCGTTTGGTGTCCCGCTCAACCCATCTGAAAGCCGGGAACCGAGCAGGGTTCCATTTTTGGACAACCCCAAAGTGGACTTAAACGCAGGGGTTTGGGAAATCAACCACCCCTGGGTTTAAGTCCACTTCGGAGTTGTCAAAAAAACGGAACCCAGGAACCGAACAGGGAACCCGAGCCAAAACGAGAACCGATTCAGAACGCACACCGGGCGCCCCGGACGCAGCGAAGCGAGAACAAGTTCTCGGCCAAGGAGATAAAGGAAAGGTTCGGCCTCGGCGAAAATTAAAGCCGCACGGCAGAAGAAAAACATGAGGGTGTTTTTGCTGAGGGTGCCCCGTTTGTTAAAAGGAAACCAAAAGTAAAACCGCCATTTTGAGGGGTCTTCTGGGACACACCCAAATGTGCCTGCTCCTGGGGAGCAGTCGTCGAGTCGTCTGAAGGGGAAGGAAAGTTTGGTGTTCAAAACGCACGATTTGGAAGATCATGGAAGTGAACCGAGAGGTTTCCTAAAAGCGAGACAGTCTTCCAAACCCCTTGCCAGCTTCTATGGAGGGATAAACGTCGTGCTCCAAATGAGCCATCGCCACCCAAAGTAGTTGTTCTTCCGCATAACCATCCCAGATTCCACAGGATGCCCTGAAAATTGTCCAGGCAATCTCCCTGTGGCAATCCACATTGAAAGAGAAGGCTACCCTCCCTCCCACTAACATGGCAACTCAGAGGGGGTCCCTTCAAGTTCATCTTCCAGGTACCTCCCCACAGGTTAGTTGGAGGAAGGGTAACTTGGGGCAGTCACGTGGCTAAAGCTGGGGTGTTCAAACCACTTGCCAAAAAGGTTTGAACCATGGTTACAAGGGGACTAACCCCAGATACCCCACTTATATCCAAGGTTATAACTTGCTTAGCAAGTGGATTGAACACCCAAGCCGAAACTAGCAGGGACAGAAAAACGGCTCTCGGAGCCACCCTTGCCCCACCCCTAGGGTACACAGATATGTATTATATATATCTATATATATGTATATACGTATGTGCACAGTTCTGAGGAGAACCCCGCAGTGTCCATGGCTCATCACCAGACAAAAATGCGCCCCACAACACATCCAATCAAAGCCAGCGCACGCTGTGGTTATCAGCTGGCACAGGTCGGAGCACGAGTCCTGCCACCCCCCGCCCGATGAAAGCAATGGTTGATTCCCTATATCAGATGTACGTACATATACTAATGTGTACATATATACATGTATACATATATAGATATATGTACATCTATAGATATACATATATACATATATACATGTATACATATGTACATATATACATATATACATATATACATATATACATGTGTATATATACATATGTCTTCATTTATACACGCATGTGTGTGTGTGTGTGTGTTATTGAGCTATCACAGTTTGATGCTTAAAACAAACACTAATCAAATTCATAATAACGACAACAATTGCAATAGTATTACAATCATTGTACGAATAGAAATAGTACATATACGTCCAATAATAATGCTAAACAAATGTACGCATACATTATACAAACATGTGAGCGCGCGCGTGTGTGTGTGTATATGTGTGTGTGTTTTAAAAGGGAAACTGGTGGGACATGTGCCCATGGCTTTCAGGGAACCAAAGGGAAGCAACTGGAAGGGGCTTCCTTCTGGCCGCTTCTGCGGCGCTTGGTGGTTGCACCCGATCCGAGACCCTGCATGGCGTCGAAGGGTCCATGTCCAATGTGGGCTCTCCTCAGATCCCGGGTTAAATGAAAACGCCCACTAAACACTAAAAAGCCAAAGAGCTAAGGGGATGGCTGGGAGCCACCAAGCAATGAAAGATGACTTCCAAATGTTGCAAGTATAACTTCAAGCCACGGAAGATCACAGTCGTTGTCTTCCTTTGGAGGGAGGAGGGGGGGGCAACCCGCCCAGGGACAGCTGAAAATGCGCCTGGCAACCTGGAAGCGGGCCAAAAAAAAAAAAAAAGAGAACTTATCGAGCATTGTTGCTTTTCGGGTTGCCATTTTTGAATGGGCTCTTTCAAAAAAGAGAGAAAGAGAGAGAGAGAGAGGAAAAAGAGAGAGAGAGAGAGAGAGAGAGAGGGAGGGAGGGAGAGGGAGAGAGAGAGAGAGGGAGAGAGAGAGAGAGAGAGAGAGGGAGGAGAGGGAGGGAGGGAGAGGGAGAGAGAGAGAGAGAGAGAGAAGAAGAACAGAGAGAGAGAGAGAGAGGGAGAGAGAGAGAGAGAGAGGGAGGGAGGGAGGGAGGGAGAGGGAGAGAGAGAGAGAGAGAGAAGAAAAAAAGAGAGAGAGAGAGAGGGAGAGAGAGAGAGAGAGAGAGAGAGAGAGAGAGGCTAGCGGGTGTCACACACCTACCACGCAGCGGATTTCCTCCGATTTGTTGGGGATGGCTGGGGACCATGCGCCCTCTCGGAAAGTGATGGGAAATCCTCTTGCGATTCAGCGACTCGACGCGGCAAAATGTCAAGCCCATTTCGGCTCAACGCCCAACCTTTCCCGGATTTTCGGTCAAGGCACCCCACACCTCCTGATGTTAAGGCACCCCACAATTTCAGTCGAGCTCTTCAGTTGCTCATGACCCCTCTACAACATGTGATTCACTTTTTCGTGGACCAAAGTGTCAATCAGAAAGCTTTTCAGTCCAAAGATCCGAGACGCCGAATAGCCTAAAGTGAGTTGCAACCTTTCCCCGCAGTCCATAGTGAGCAGGTTCTGCGAGAGGTCCAGCGTCTGCAGCGAGGGGCAGTCCACCAGAGCTTGCGCCTCAGCTCTGGAAATGGCCACGGCCAGGGGTGGTGACCTGAACCTCAGCACCACTAGAAGACCCCTGGCAAGTGAGTGAATACCCTACAGCTGCCAAATGGCCTTTGCCACAAGATCTGGTTTTCGGTCTTTGAAAAAAGAGAAAGAACAAAAGAGTCTCGCTTTCAACCAAAAACACCTGCCACGTGCTTATCCTAGCCGTGACCTCTGACCTCGAAGCGTCTCAAGGGGCCGCGGCCAAAGTGCCAAAGGCCACATCGTTGATGGCCGCGTTCCGCAGCAGCGCCTCAGACGGCCAGCTCCGAAACCCGGCCCGCGCCTGAGAACTTCGAAGCCCACAGGAGGCCGCCGAGAGGAAACCGACCTAAGGTCGCCTCCGAAAATCCCGAAAATCGCAGCACCGACCTAAGGAACCCAACGAAATGATTCGAACGTCTTTTTTTTTACCCGCAAACGTTGTGGTTTCAACCATGGTTTCATTTCGTGGTGCGAACAGATTTCGCCCATCCATAGCAGGACTGCAAGCAAGAATGGACGGGGTGGGGGGAACACCGGCAAATCGGAGTACTTGCCAGCTTGATTCATCGGGGTCGATGTTTGGGCCCAACAGAACCGACTAGCCCTTAAACAACCCCAGAACATCAGAACATTCACTGAACTGCATCTACGTCACAAAAAGACTGCTGTATTGCAGCCCCTGCGAAAAAGCTCATCTAAAATGACAACTCAAAAGCCGTGTCGAGGTAGGGAAACCTTGCCAATGGCCTCCCCAGTTCCATTGGAAGGTCCCTTGCGCCCGAGAAGAACTCACTCCTGTCCAATCAAGCAAGGTCCGCCTTTCTTTCCACCCCCATCTATTTATCGGTGGATGTTTCTGGAAGAAAGCTGAATTGAATATAAGGCTACGTAGGGGGATTCCCATGAAACCCGAGTTCCAAGCACCCAAGCCACGCGCCTGCTGTAGGTCTTTGTGGTGCATCCATTGGTCCACCACCTGAGGTGACCAAATCCTTCTCATGTCGAGCAGGGCAACACCTTGGTTTGTTGACCGTGGCTCACCTTTTCATGTGCAGAGACCTTTAAGCAAGGAACAACTGGATGAAGATTGGGGGGGTGGTCAAACCACCAACCTCAATGAGCATTTCGGACCCTGCCGTGGATACGTGCCGACTGTTAAAATCAATTCCCAAAAAGATCCCATGTTGAACACCGGCCGCCCATGCAACTATTTACTTTCACTACCAAATGTTTGGTTGTGACTTATCTGTTGGTGCTTTGAGAAAGAAGACCACTGGTCATATGAAGTCTGACTAAACAGCATGAAACCAAAGAGGGGATGCAAGCCATCTCAAACCTATCCTAAACCCAGCCTAAAGAAAGCCTAAAGCTCAGTGCCAAGGTTTGGAACTGAAGTTCTCATCCCGAATGGTTGGTCTCAAAACAGAAACCGAAGAAATCGACGGCTTCCCTTTTGTGTCCGAGTACACCAGTCCCAAAAAGGATGCCAGCAAAAGAAGATGCGGCCCCGAATGTCAATGTAAAACCGTGGTGTTGACCCTTGCTAATGCGCAAGCTATCTGCAGCAAAACAAAAACAAAGAAACAAATGCAGCCTAGCCAAGTCCAAGTCGTTTTTGTTCGCATAAGAAAAGCTGAGCCACAGATTTAGGGGGATCCCATTCGCCGGGATCCATCCGCCGAACAAACTCGATTCCTCTCTCTCTCTCTCTCGGCTAGCCGCTCTCATCAGCTTCATTGAAACCTGCAGCGGTTGCGACGCTCCGATGTGGGCTCGTCATTCTTCCGGGCACCGACGGCTTCGGGGCACCCCTCTGCGTCTCCCTTCAAACCCACTGAAAATGGAAGGGGTCCCTCAAAAAGCGAATTTTGAGGCCATGGGTTGCCAGTCCTTGAAGGTACTAAGAAGGTAGAGATGGTCGCCTGCCACCAAAGGGAATCCAAGTTGACGACTCCCTTTTCTAAGATGGTTTCTAGAACCCCCGATCCTCTACCCCCAGGGTAAATTGGGGTATACACCGTTTATATAGTGGCTATATGGTGGCTGTACATCCCACTAACTCCCTGGAGGTAGTGGTTTAGGGGTACTAGAAACCAGCCTTTGAGTGCAACAGTTGGAACTCCACGAGCCACGACCTTCGGATTGATTTGGATTGCCATGAGGGAGTGGCACGAGATCATCTTCGTCCGCGGATTCGAAGCCCCGTCCAGTCGGGGAAGGAACTTCTCACAGGGTGGATAGTCGTCCCTACTGGACAGGGCGGATGTGATATCACTAGAAAAAGCAAGTCAGCGCCATCAAAAACGACCTCCTCGATTGAATGAGTTACAATCAAAAGCTGCTTGCTGAAGGGTATGCCCGAATTCGTAAAGAATCCCGGGGGGGGCGGCCGCACCCATTTATGGGCGGGGCTGTTGTTGTTTTTTAATGATTCTTCACTTACCCAGGTATTGATCTTGACTCAAATTGTCACACCCCCGAAACCCCCCAGACCCTGCCTGGCTGGTTCGCTCCCGCCTGGCATCTCGCTCCCAAAAATCCCGCCAGGCCCATCCAACCCCTCAGCCCAGCGTGAAACCCTCCCCATGAAACCGACCTCTACCCCCAAGAAAAACTCTCGCACGGCCGGACTTCGACGCCCGGCGCTCCCCCCACCCCCCCCCCGAACATGCCGAGGGCGCAGATTCACCTCCTGGCGCGAGAGAGAGAGAGAGAGAGAGTTTGAGAGTCTGAGAGAGCTCTGAAAGAGCCTGAGAGAGCCTGAGTGAGCAAACTGGCATATGAGGGCACTTGAAGCTCTGTGTCCAAAGCCGACCTGAAAAGTTGGGGGCAACCAAAGAGCGCCAAAGAGCGCCCCTACGTGTCTTTGGTATCCCCTCAATGTCCATGGCAAAGGACATCCGGCCCAGAGGCCCTCACCTCCGCCCTCACCCGCTCCTGTGACTGGTCCTTGCTGGTAGAACTGGCCTCGAGGCTGGGGCAATCGCAGTGACCAAAAGACCATCCCACTCCAAGCCACTCCAAGTCCGACTGCTCCCACCATAACCCCCACCCACCCACCCACCCAGCTGCACACATACACACACACGCAGAGACCAAACACACTGCCAATCAGGGTGCTGTGTTTTGGGGGGCGGGTCCCCCTTTGGGGAGTGACCCACGCTTTAACCGTCAAAGTACGGTTTATGTGCCACGGTCAAAACTCGTTGCGGACGCCAATGGCACGTGCTTTATTTCAAAAGCAACTCCCAACAATGGTTGTCTTAATGCATATGAATATATTATGTGGGATCACCATGCTTAGTAGCCACAAGCAAGGAGGTGTTTAATAAACGACAAGCGTTGTCAATGTGCAAGTGCATTTCCTTAAGGCGACAGTTTTTATAGGGGCAGCGGTAAGGGGAACAGCTCGAGAATCCTCCAACTCATTTCACGCTCGGACTTTTGCAGCACCCTTCCTGGTCCGTCTTCTGCTTCACTGCTCACTTCCGGCCAACCCTTCTTACCCAATAAATGGGCCAGGCGGCCAGGGTTCCGGCCATACTTCCTCAAGACGCCTGCGTATAAACGCCCCGTTGGCAGACACGTTGTTCGCTCACATCTCCATCAAGTGTCGGGAACTTGCATAGGTGTCCTTTTTGCGACAATAGATGGCCCTGGTCAATGGAATAAAACCAACCTGAACCAGCGGAACCCATCTATTTCTGGCCAACATCACCTAAAAAGGGGACGCCTATGGGAACTCCTTGTCGATCTGAGCCCCACAGCAGCACCAACTCCCTGGGCGTCCTGCCGTTGCCGTGTGACCTGAAGCAGAGATCGAAGCAAAAAACGGACGGTTCCCTGGGCACCGCTTTTGAGGGAGACCCAACACGTCCAAAGACAAAACGCGCCAAAAAATGGTGTGGACCCCGTAATGCTTGGTCTTATAGTGGCGTCCTTTTTCAGCGCAGATTGTTTGAGGAGTTCCGGGCTTCGCAGGCCTTGCCGGCCACATTTGACACCGTCAAACATGCAACTACCCGCCTAAAGAGCCCCCGGTGGTTTGCGGAGACATTCTAAGGACTGGACATCTTGAGTCCAACTTCAGATACCCAGCCCAAAGCCTTCTGCTACTCATGGCAGCGAGTCTTGCGGATGCCGGAACTGCCATATGGCCCTCCCAGGTCGCCATGTCAGCTGAGGGAATGGGAGGGGTGCTATGAATTGAGGGGCTAGTACTGTGGAAGGACAAATTGCTGCACCAGCGTTCAGAAACCCTGGAATGATTCGATTCACCCAAAAAAAAACGTTGTGGCTTCAACCATGATTTCATTTCAAGCGGTGCGAGAAGCGGATGTCGTAACGAAATTTTAGAAGTTTTATGGGGTATACAGCCACTAGCTACTATAGCTCCATTTCAGCGTAAATCCCCTAACAAAAATACATGTGATAGATGCCCTTTAAAGCCAACAGGGGCAAAATGAAGAAACATTCATTTCAGCCAATGGAACTTATGTTAAACTTATAGCAAAAGAGTCCAATAAAATTATCAACCCCCGGCAGGTTGGTATATGAAACGTAGCCAGCCCAACCACGTCTTGCCAGCCTTTTCCACCCCCTTCAAAACGAACGGCCACGTTTCTGTTTCGCCCTCGTCCCTCCCCTTTAAAAAAAAAAAAGGCTGAGCGACTCGGCAGATCTGAGCTGCCACGCCCATGGACAGCTCCTGCAGCTTCCGCTCCAGCCGGTGGGTCTCCCCCAAGACCTGGCGGTGCTTGGCACATATAGGAACCCAAAATCGGTGCTATAGATCCCCCCAGCAAAAAGTTTCTAACTTTTTGCTGAATCCAAAGTTAAGGTCTAAAGATCCAACCACTAACATGGCAACTGAGAGTCCCACAAAAGGAAACTAATCCTGGTACTTCCCCACAGGTGCCATGTTAGTTGGAGGAATTGTAAATAGACACATCAACGAAAACCTGCGGTCCTATTCCTGGGGGTTTAATTTTGACCCATACCCACCTAACGCAGCAAAGCGATACCCGCGTGCGGGAGGTTTCGCCGAGAGGATGCGCCGAGTCCGGCAGCTCCAACTTCACGACACATTGACTCGGATTGGGATGGGAAGAACTGCGCTGGAGTCACTTGCCTGGTGATCTGATAATTCAGCGAGGGAAATCTGACAAGAGGTCCCTCCAAAGAGATTCTTCTCAAGTCTTTGGGGTTGCAGCTTCACTTGCAGGAGGGGTTGCAAAGAAAAAATCGGAAGGAGGCCATACGTGCTTTGCCTGATGGTAGTTGCCACCCTGGAAGCACGTAGGGGTCGCAATACAAACCAATTTACCAGCCTGGGCGCGTCAAGCATGAAGTGAGCTGATGGCTGGGTTGAAAGGCGTCTGCGTCATCTTTTCCTTGCTGGTGCTCAGGGAATGAGATATGGAATGACCCTTATCAAAAACCATCCCACTGGTGGTTTCCTTGAAAAAAAAAAAAAACGTTCCCTTTTCCTTTCGCGCCAAGCTTCGACCCTTCGATCGGACGCCCCGGGCCTGGTCTTTGGCACTGACCTCGTCGTCCAGCTTGCGCCTGGCGCGGGAGACCCGCGGGCTTCGATAGGAGCCGAGACCACCTGGCTGGTAGTGTTGACCCCATATTAACCAACCATGGTTCTGGGCTTACGACCATCTTAATACCGAGTCTCGATTGTGACTCAAATGAGTAGTGTCCCTGGGGGTGTCCCTGGGTGAAATGTGGGAATCAGACCACTTTTAGAGGGGCCCTCACCCTCAGATGAATACACAGGGGTTGATTAATCCGGGGTCAACATTGCCAGGGCCAAGAAGAAAGTCGCCTGCCCTCGGATCAAATGACCATGGCATGTAGAAAGAAAACCGAGAGATTGCACGTTGCGTCTTCAAGTGACTTCCGCATGATCGACTCGCAAACAGATTGTCTGTTCTCGACACAGTGCGACACTTTGGCGTGACAGCCACCGAATTTGAAAAGGAAAAGACACGGACATCTAAGCAAAGAAAAGGGCGAGAGAGCAAGGGCACATTTCAAAACCAAGCCAGACTCTCGGACATACACCAGACAAAGAAACGCATGCATCATTATTGATCCTACCCTGAAACAAAAACAAACAAAAAGAACACAAAGCCCTGAGGTTTCGGGGTGGGGCCCATTTCGTTTGCCCGCCTTTTCACTGCCTGCGCATGGAAAGCGCTGCTCTCAAGGCGAGAAAAAACTGCCCACTTCGGGCGCCCGGGCGTGAGCTGCACCATCTGCATCTTCATCTTCTCCAGACTGGGCGCGGCACGGCATGTGATATGAGCGACTGGACAGGTCCAGCCAAGAGTCACGCGCCCGTTTTTGCACACGTTTTCTCAGGAAGCCTGGCATCGAAGCCTGGCATCAAAACCTGGCATTGAAGGGGGCAAGGCAGGATAGAAAGCCTGGTTAGAGCCCACTTACGATGATTATATGTCTCTAAATGGGTTGCAACCAGGCTTACTAACCACTTACGAAGTACCTGCCCCTTTAAGTAGAGGCGAAAGTGGCTTCTTTTTTCGGATTTGGGCGACAGGGGTTCCTCTCAGGAAGCCTGATCAAAACCTGGCATTGAACCATGTAAACCATTGGTGCCGAACTAAAATAACGTACTAACCGAAGAACCTAGACACTTCATTTTGGGGGCTCTATCCTTGCCGGCAGAACAAAGCGCCCCGGCTCTTGTACCTTCTCCCGCACGCTCTGCGCCTGGCCAAAGGTCTGAGGCAATACGAAAGCGGAATGTAGCTGTTTTTTTTTTTAATGTAGCTTGTGTCAGGAAAATAGTTGCGTCCGCACCATCACTACAAGGGCGGCCCTCTGCCTCGACGAATGGTTGGGAATGTCGCCTGCCAAGCTAGGATCCGGACTGGGATCTTTCGGCTGGAGTGCCTGGGGTTGACCTTTTGAGGTGCAGGGTCCGAGCAGACAGGTGGCCATCCTTTCCCGGGTCCGTTTGGAGAGGGAAAGACGTAGTCGTTGCAACGAACTCATCCCGCCATCCCGCCATCCCGCCATCCCGCCATCCCGCCATCCCGCCATCCCGCCATCCCGCCATGCTGGGCCATCCCTCCAACAGCGGGAAGCGGGTAGTTGTTTGTGTGTCCTCCTTGAACGGTCTGCTGTGGCCTTCAGCCAAACAACAATGGAGCACACCGTCCAAAGCTGGGAAACAACAGGAGCATAGGGTTGCCGTCCAGTCACCAAAAATGGTTTGTTTGATCGTGGAACGTTCACGTCATCCACTGTTAGCTCTTGGATGACAACCCCAACAAAGTTGGCTAGACGCCAATCGCATCAATCGCACCAATCAGACTCTCCTGAAAAGCGGGCCTAAGAGATGCTTGAAACCACAGGGGTGATCAAAAGGTCCTTTACATGGGATGACCATTCGTTGGGAAACCACTAAAAAGACTTGACATTTCAACAACATGGTTAAAAACCTACCCATGGTCAAAACGGGGGGCCCTTGTTTGGAATATTGATCAACCCCCATAATGTTGACCCCATAATGTTGACCCCATATTATTCAACCCCCGGTGTCATTCCCTCTCATTAAGAAATAAAAAGAAGAAGAAACAAAGCCAGAGAGAGAGAGAGAGAAATGAAAAAAAAGCTGTGGGACAAAAATAGGTACCCAAAATGGCTTGCCCTGGCAAGTGGAAACCTGGACTCAAACCTGCGGTCCGATTCCTGGTGGATTACTTTTGACCCATACCCCCCCCAAAAAAAAAAGAAAAAAGCGGCTCCGGTGAAAGGCCATACTCCCCTCCTCCAGCTCAGCCGCGGAGCGGTGGCTCTTCACCTAGGGCAAGCAAAAGGGCGACCAAAGGGCATTCTCTACACGGGGAGGGTAGACGACTCTGAGAGGAAAATCTCTTTCTGGGGAACTCCCGGTCAAACACGAAGGTTAACCCCGGAGTAATAAACCGATTCCTGGTTGAGGGTTTAGGGGGGGTGTCCCCCGAATAATGGGACGGGTTTTATTTTTCCTGGGTCAACATGACTGAAAGACAAAACACTTTTTTGAGGGGAATCCCTAGTTTTGGAGTCCAAACCACTCTAGGACAAAGATATCTGTGAATCTCTCCCCATTTCTGAGCTGGAGGACTAAGCTGGTGGACGTGACCGGCCCAAGTGCTATACAGAGACGTGGAGGGTCCAACAACAGATCCACCAGCGAATCATCACTGGCAGGGTGACCCTCCAGCCTGCATCTCAAGCATGGACTTCTCCTTTTCGTGCTTCTCCTGTCGCGAATCGTGACGACAAAATACAAAGCAAAGGCTCCATTCCTAGCCCAGCACCTACAACATTGTGACTGTTCTTGCGGGTACCCCGCCCCCGTCTAGGGTAGTTTTGAACCGGTTTGCAAACCCAAATAAGCCATACATGATTTTAGTATATGCGATGCATGTGTGTATATATATATATATATATATATGTACATATATATATATATATATATATATACATATTTGTCCCTTCAAGCAGCGCCTCATCCAAAAGAACCCGGTTCAAGTTAGGCAGCAAAGGGAGTCAAAACTCTCTCTATCTCTGTCTCTCTCTTTCAAAAAAAATGAAGGGCTCCTCTCATGTCTAAATGAACAAGGTTCAGAAACCCCTGAACAAACCAAAAAGGATCTTCTGGCTCCTGCACCGTAGGAAGGTTGGTAGAGATACCGAAAACGAGGGAAGAGCTGTGCGAAAAGCTCGGATTCGAATCGTAAGGCCCGATCTCCTTGCCTTCATCACCACAACTTCCCGTTTTAGGCGCTCGTTCTCCTGGCGAAGCTCGGAAAACGTGATCCACCAAATCGACCGGAGAATTCCTGTCGAAGCCATTCGAAGTCTCTTAGAACTTCCTGCGAGCAGCCCAAACAAGCCCAGGTATCAACAGCACCGCCGGAAACCCTTCCGGAACCCTAGCCACCCGCTCCGAGCCGCAAATGAATGGTCATATTTTGAATGTCCCCACCCCAACCCAAGGGCGGAGATGCTGAACCGACCTCAAATGGACCCCTGGCTTCAACACTCGTCCAGGAAAAGTTCCAAGCCGAAAAGTGAAGATGCATTTAGAATGAGGGTTGCCTGGCACCCCCTTTTGCAACGTCAAGACGCCGAGAAAGCTCGACTCATCAAATATCCACACAACCTTTTTCAAACGCAAAGGCGAAGTACCCTTCTTCCCACTACCATGGCACCTGTGAAAAGTTTCCTGGAAGATCATTTTCCTCTTGGAGGGACCCCCTGTAAGGTGCCGGTTTGGTGCCTCTGGGTGCGTCTGTATTTGGGTTTCCGGGGAAACCAAAACAAGGCCCATCCGTTTTGGTGCCCGAAAAGATGGGAGAAAAAAAGGCGCACGCACACAGACATGAATGAGTCAACAAAGGCAAAGACCCTCTTGACCATTTGAAAGTATTGAAACGGCCAGCAGTTTCAAAAGCGGCCGCGGTTCTTCCAATTTGTTTGGGTTTGCCCCCCCAACTTCAAAACAAAAAGCCTCATTTCGGCTTCCTTGTTCCACTCCCAAAAACCTCCCGCTTCAAGTGCGAGCTGCTGTTTTCGTTCAACTGGAGTTGTTTTTTGAAAGGGGAAACCAAAATAAAAGCCTTCTCAATTGCGCGGGAGCTTCTGTACGGACACTTAGGGTTTTTTTCTTACTTTCGGGTAAGAAAAGACTTCTTCTTTGGGCTCCTTCTTTAGGACCTCCTTCTTTGGGGACCTGCTTCTTTGGGAACCTTCCTGGCTTGGGGTTGCAAACATCGACTGTCCATGGCAGGAAGGCACCCGGGAGAGTCCACCTCTCCCAGCCCGGAAAGCGCCTCGCTCATCTTCGCCACCACCTCCGGAGGCACCTGGCGCGTGGACGTGCGGCCTCAACCTCGGTGCGGGACCCTTCCGAACATGTGAAACCACCATGGCTAAAAGCCACCGCCTTGTGCCCCTCCGTGTTTAGGAAGGGATCATGTTTGTTCCCTTTGCACCAACACGTTAAAGAGCGGGATGGACTTGCTATATTTTAGGAAGGGATCCTTTACACCAACACGTTCAAAAACAAGACGAGTACCCTTTGCGCACACCAAAATGCCCATATGCGGATGTGTTTCCGCCTTGCCCGTTTTGTGCTTTAAGGGTAAACACCCACACGAGGGTGAAAGCAGATGTTGCAATTCCCTTTCTGTCGGTACTTCCATGCAAATCAACATGGAAGCATGGGCCTCTTGAAGGAACGATGGTTTTGGGGATTCCTTGTTCATCAGGGGCGACAACTGGAACCGAAACAAAATCACCAAGGACTGGAACGCCAGGACTGGAAACCCAAAGCTCGCCATATGGAAGCGAGGAGTGGAAGATGAGTCGCATTCGCAAAGGGTGTCGGCAGATCGGGGTTCGCCTTTTGTGGAGGGCATTCAAAAGGGAAACAAAGGCAAAGTGAGCGAGGGGGGGGGGGAGGGAGCCCAAATAAGCCCTTAATAAGGCCTTATTTAGCTTCCTCCCCCCCCCGCTCCCTCCCCCAGACAAACGCCGCAACAAAGACCATGACGCGCCCACGCCCCTCCTGTCACTCCGGCCTCCTCCCCTGCAAAGGCTGGATCATCCCCCATGGCTCGGAAAGCCCGTGATTACAGGAGCAAGTTCAACACATGGACGGCTAAATGAAGGCTGCCTCGGCAAGTCAAGGCAGTTCTGCGCCCATGGATTCCACGCCATGTTCCCACCTTTGCCCTTCGTACTGCTGGCTTAAAAGGAAAAAAAGAAACGGCATGACGTATCTACACAAGTGCTATAAGCACTGCGGTCGGAGTTGCGCGGGGTCTGTCTCCACTGGTGAGCTGGTACTAAAATAGCATGCCCCCCCTGGCCACAGCTTCCATTGGTTCAGCACGTTGCTTCTGGCTCGAAGGGAACATTTCGTGGATGGTAAACGAAAACCCCAAGGAAGCGAAACCGGGACAAAACCAGCCGGGTTCCCTTCCCAGCCACAGTCGGGTGCCTCTTCACGAATGAATCAGGTTCAACTCCACGGTGGGAAGGTGATTGAAGAGAAAAGAGGCAACCCAACCGCTTGAAAAACACCCACTCCGGATTTGGAGCCACCTACCTTTCAGCGATTTGCACAAGTCATAGCATGAATCTGTGTGTGTGTGTGTAATGTTGACCCTATATTTTGCTCAACCCCCGTTTATTCATAGGGGGGTGTTCCTGGGTGAAATGCGGGGAATGAAACCACTTTTGGAGGGGACCCCCCACCCCCCCTGGGGTTGATTCATGTGGGGTCAACATTAACCCAACCCTTAAGAGGGGAATGGGACGAAATGGAATGACCCTTAAAAGCCATCCAATTGGTGGTTTCCCGGAAATGGCAACCAAAGCCTGGGTTTCATTCAACCACAGTCCCTATCAAAACCCTGTACCCCCGGTGAACGTCAAAATAGGTGGCAAATGGATGTTCATCCACCCCGAAATGGAGCCATAGGTTGCGCCCCATGGCCATATCGTATAAATCAGAGGGATGCGTTGCATCGTCACTGGCCAGCTCCTTGCACTGCGCCGTGACGGAGGGGCCCTGCCCAGATCGAATCACTCAAGGACCCGGAAAAACCGGCGGGGGGGGGGAGGGGGGGGGGAACCTTCCGTGACGCAAAACTGATATCCAGGGTACCCTCGCGGCCCTCCCAGCGCTTTGTTTGTTGGCAGGCGATTTGTTTACTGCCCGTTTAAGCAGAAACCGGCATGTTGGGAGCTGGCCGGAAGCTGTGCGGAACGTGCAAACGTGGGGTTGCGAGAGGACAACACGAGCGCAACCGGCTTGCAGCGCCAGAAACATATCCGGTCTGAAAACTAAAGGCCTCCAAGAGACTGCCAGGCACAAACAAACAAACAAACAAACAAACAAACAAACAAACAAACAAATAAACACATGGACAAACCTGAGATCTTCTCCAATGCTGGGGATGCAAAATGACATCCATTTAGACAGAAAAACGGGCCATGCGAACAGCTCCAGAAGGCTCCAAAGGGCTGCCCCGGCTTCCAGAAGCGACCCCACTGAAAAAAGGCTTGGCTCCAAAACCTGAGGAAAAAACCCGAAGGGCCAAATCCCATGGCCAACGACATGTGAGCGCCCAACACCTCCATTGATCATTTCTCCGTAGGTTCGGCGACCTGGCCCAAACCTTGAGCGAACTTGGCAGAACAAAAAGTCAGTGGGCTTGGGCTCTCCGATCGATCTAAGAGTTTGTCTATTGCACCCTGAGGATACATGGAAAACTCTCCACTTCCGAATGTTCACTCCGCATGAAACCAGGACATTGACAATTGGGGTCACTTCCGACTGGCCACAGAGTGAAATTTGGAACTCGATTCAGGTTGCAATCCCGGAGCCCAATTTCAAGAGCCCAGCCTCGAGGCCCCAGGACCGAAGTCGAAGCTGTCTCCGTTCCCAGGGACCCTTTGAACCGGAAACGGTTCAACCCTTCGAATGATGTCAGGGCCTGGGTAATCCAAAAGCCCCCTGAATCAAAACAACAGCTCCGTATTCAAGAGTCGGGTCCACAAACTGGCTGCTCAAAAGCACCTTGGATGGAGCCAAAGACCAAATCCTGCAAAACCCCTAGCTGATTCATTTTGAGCCACACTTGGGTTCAGCCCAAACCTCCGGCACCTCCGGTTTGGCCCCGCGAAGCAAGTCGCGCCTTGGCCTTCTTGGCGGCTGGGCCGGCGGTGCTCGCAGGGCGCTTCATCGGGGCCTCGGAGCGGAGCTGCGAGGCGAAATAGAAAAAAAGAACGACGCGTGTGGGGGTGGGGGGGGGGAGGGGAGGGGTAGGGCGTTGGGGGAGGGGGGTTGGGGGGGGCTGCGATGAAGCTGCGAAGCGGCTGCTGAGTGTCATCCCTTGCTCCGCGAAGGAACCTGGTTTGGCGCGAAGCTGGGAAGCTCGCTGGGCGTGGGGGGGGGAGGAGGGGGGGGGGGGTCTTGTTTGAGGCGAAAGGTGGCCTTGTCAGCTTGGTAAAAGAATAAGCCAAAGGGAAAACCGTCGTTTTGCATCCCACGGCGTTTTGCACGGACAGAGTGCAAAACGGGCGGGAAAAGGAAAGGACACGTTCGGCACGCATAGAAACGGCAGGAAAGAGTGAACGCCGGTTGCAAAATGGAGGTTGTTCAGGTACGGCAGCAAAAACTTTGTTTTCTGCCCCCCCCCCCCCCCGCTAAAAATGAACAGAGCCAAACAAAAACTTGCCAAAAACAAGCAAGTTGTTTGAAGCATGGACTTCTCCCAGGCCACTCGTTGACATCCCTGCGGAGCTCAAATTTGTGTTTTCAAACGGGGAAAACGATCAAAAAAAGGTTGTTGAAGGTATGTGTCAACATAGGGGCACCCCCGAAATCCCCCCCCCAATGATAGGGTTTTCCTTTTGCCTTTCCCTTAAAGCCGGCCTTCAACGGGAACCGCATGGGAATGGACAAAGGGCCTGGCCTCGCGGGGGAATTCTTGCAGAAGCCAAATGTTTATAAATGACCCTGAGAACGCAAGTGGCAGTGTCCTTGGACGTTGGGAGCCTTTTTTTTCCCCAGTTGGTTTCAAATTCAAGTCCCCAACCACCAATCCAAACCTGCGATGAAGTTTCCATGGTCCCTCGAGGGGCAAAGGCACAACGGCTATGGCTTCCAAAACATCCAAGCTTTCTATTCCTGTCTTCAGGAAGTTGGGCCAACCCACCCAATATCCAATAGCCACAAGGTACTATGGATGGTCACCTCTAGGTACTGTCATAGGATTCTGGCCTTCGACCTGATGTGCCCTGAGGGTCTTTCTCTGCACCTCCATTCGCATAACAAACAAGCCAAACCCAAGCATTGCTTTGCCGAGATACTGTGCCACAAACAATGAGAAACAAACCGAAACCCTTCCCGCTCCTGGACGTTGAAACGCACCCTGAGGCCTCAAGGCCATACTCCATGACAATTCTTCCATCGCCTCCCCACGCATGACGCCAGGGACTGGGTGCTCCGCCATGTTGGACACGGAAACCGGAAGAATGCTAGACCCAGGGCTAGTTCTTGAGCCAGCGCTTACCAAGTTGCCTTGTCACACAGGCACGCAACGGCAACGAACCGGCCTTTGCAACCACTCATGTCCCCCGTGATTCGTGCATCGCGCTGACCAAAGATCTGGGGTTTGAAGGCTTCAAGTCCCAAAAACGAAGATTCAAAAAAACAACCCTTCTGGGACTTTTGTCTCTTGAAAATTCCATGCAAAAAATGATGTGTGAACCTTGGCACGGAGATGGATCCAAATTTTGTGTCTCGGGGCCCGGTGATTGTCGTTGTTTGGTCTCCTGAGATGGAAATGTGTGGTCAACCGACTTGCTGGGTCATTTGTCGATCCTGCTTGGCTCTGAAAGAGGAAGGGGCACATTGCAAACAAGGTCTATCAATCCTGGATTGACAGTGGACAAGTCATGTTTTTTGACGTCCATTTCCTTTGTCCAACCGATGCCAGCCCATACTACTGTACCACTTAGAGGCCCTTTCTGCGGCCGGAGTACACAATTTCGCCCGGACCTCAAAATCTAGCTTGTTGCCCAAACCTACCAATCAACGAAGGAACCAGTAAGTAATTCGATGCGCCTTGTTGATGACAAGCGCTGACGATCCGCTGACAGGCAGCCTCGATGTAGGGCCCCAGGTCCCACAGTGCCTGCCCCAAAACCCTCGTTTGAGTAAACGCTGTAGACACTGCTTTTCGTGAGACAGGCTGGTGGAAGCCCCCTTCTCGCAAATCCTGCCCAAACTGTCGCGCTTGAGGCATTGGGTTGACATCTGGCTGAGGATCTGTTTCTGTCGAGCGAATGGCAGCTCTTTTCCTGTGGCAATTAGAGCCTCCGATTGCGGTGCATGTACATCATGCTTTCATCATGCTTTGCATGCGGATATGACTGAACACAAAAACAATCCTCACATGCTGCCTTCATATCCGCTGCACTTCAAACACTTGTGCACCTGTCTCCCACTCTTGTAGTGGGGACATTTCTCGTGCGTGTGATACACGTTGCCTGTTGGCAACATCCGGACCGGATTGATCCTCTTCCTCAAATCGCTACGTGCACTCACCTCCGGCTCGCTGTCGTTGGCCTCCTGAATCGTTGCCTTGCCGGAGATGATCTCCTTCTGAATCCTCTTGATGAAGAAACTCCACAGCCACCGCGCCAGGCTCAAGGCTCCTATGTCGGCCAAAATGGCCAGCACCGGCCACATCCAGCTGTCGCTCTCCGCTCCGTTGGGCTCGTTCTCCTCCTTCTCCTTGGTTCCACTCGTTGGTGTGTGGCCTCTGATGAAGGACCAAACATGCCGAAGAAAAAGTCCTTCACTGCATCCAGAGACCATGGCCACGTACTCGCTCTCACCGCTTGAAAGTGAGATGCTTTTCTGGCTTCTCACTCTGCTCTCCATGAGGTTGCCGTCGAGGAACACCTGGAAACTCGTGGTGCTCTTTCTCGAGTTCTGGTCCCCCGCGTGTCGCTGTCAGTGACAACCTCCATGAGGTGAACTTTCTTCACCTCGATCTCCTGCATCTCTCTCATGTCCAACATGGACTTCCCACAC